GAAGAACTGCATTCCACTACCTGGGTTCCCAATTGATTCAACACAATCATCCAAATTATATGAAACACTTGTTTGCAGTTTCAGGTGTCTGGGGTGAACCAAACAAGAAAGCTGAGCCCTCTTCCCAAGGAAACTTATTACATAATAAGGAACATAGACAAATACAAAACAATTATGCCCTATTTAATGACAAGATTTAATAAAATACAAATTAATGCTTAATTCATTAAAATTGTTAACTAGTAAATATGTTTTACAGAAATATACTCTGACCCCCATCTGTATTTTTAAATTTTCTAGTGTCCACATAATAAAAAGTAGTTAAAAACATTTAAAATAAATTTTAATAATATACTTAACCTACTACATCTAAAACATTATCATGTCAACATATAATTACTATAAACATATTAATAAGATATTTTGCATTCTTATTTTTTTTACCAGATTTTTTACATTGCACATGCATTTTACCCTGACAACACAGCCCAGGTCAGACCACTCACATTTCAGGTTCTCAGTGTCTGCATGTGACTACCCAATAAGACAAGACAAAATTAGACAAACCACCCATCTACATGGAGACACTTTATTTTCAAATCCTTAGCTGACATAACAATTCTAAATGGTCTTAGGAAGTGAGGGTAGGTAGAAACCCATATACTCTAAATTCCAACGGATGGTCAATATAAATGGTCTTATGATGATAGTGTTAGAGGAAACGTTGTCCAAGTTGACCAGGCTGGTTGCTTTATAGGACACCATTCACTGGTGGTTGACAACCAGTGAAGATCTTTATTTTCTGGACTGAATTTAATTCATAAATCCTTTTGTAGAATTTCCAAAGACTTGTACTACACTCTTAACCAGAGATTAGGTTATGGTTGGTGTAAACAGGAGTTAAATCTTTTGATTCGATTTGCGTAACCACTTAATTTAAGAAAACAATAACAGCCCTGGCCAGTTTGGCTCAGTGGTTGAGCATCGGCCTGCAGACCAGAGAGTCCTGGGTTCGGTTCCCGCTAGGGGCACATACCACCAAAAACAAACAAACAAACAAAAAAACAAATGGCTGCTGGTGGTAGAAGTTTTTCTAATGCTATTATTTGATCTTACATTTTTATGCCCACATAAAGTGACTTTATGTATGCCTTTCAGTGACACTTCATTATAAACCTAAGCTATATTAACTACAATAGATCTTTTGCATGTTTTTTTTTTCAAATAAACTTTTTAGAATAGTTTTATGTACACAGCAAAATTGAAGAGAAGATACAAGAAATTTCCATGTATTCCCTGCCCTACACATGTATAGCTTCCCCCATTATCAATATTTCCCATTAGAATGGTATATTTGTTACAACTGATGAAACCTACAATGACACATTTTTTTTTTTTTTTTTTTTTTAATCCCAGAGTCCCATAGGTAAACTCGGAGTTTACATTAGGGTTCACTCTCAATGATGTACATTCTCTTAATTTAGACAATTAACAATAAAATGTAATCATCATAATAGTATCATACAGAATAGTTTCATTGCCCTAAAAATCCTCTATGCTCCACCTGTATTATTTGATTATAAATCTTTTTTTATAGTGGAGAATGTTTTTCTTATAAGGCAATTAAAAATAAATATTTTCTGATATAAATAAAACCTGAGCCCTGGACAATTTGGCTCAGCAGTTAGAGCATCGGCCTGTGGACCAAAGAGTCCCGGGTTCGATTCTGGCCAAGGGCACGTACCTCGGTTGCAGTTCGTCCCTGGCCCCAGTTGTGGTTGTGCAGGTGGCAACCAATCGATGTGTCTCTCTCACATCGATGTTTCTCTCTCTCTCTCCCACTCTGTCTGAAGATAAATGTAAAAATATCCTCAGGTGAGGATTAAAAAACAAAACAAAACAAAAAATACTGTGAGTCCTGTCAGAAACCTGTCCTTTAGGTTGAAGTGGTTTATAAGCACTTGGTATGTATGTTTTATTTTAAAGAACCACTTTTTTCTGTTTGTGAGCTTTTTAAAGTTAAAAACATTTCACAAAACAAGAAAAGTTTGATTGATTTTGAAGATAAATTTACTACTCAACAGCAGCACTGTCTATGGGAACTGAATTATGGGTATGAAACTGCAACCATTGTGGATCATTGAATCAGTACTCTGAAGCATAAATTAGTTGTAGTGGCTTAGAAAAATGCCCAAGTAGCAGAGCACAATGAATTCACAGATCAAAAGTTTGGAGTTGGCTAATGAACTTTCCTGAAGCATTGTCTAAACCTCCTGAAACTATGATAAAGAAGAAGGAATCAACACATTTTTGATGAAATGTGTCAGGCTGAGCAGTGTCTACTTGGTATAGGGGTGCTTTCAACTCTGGGTCAATACGTTGTAGAGATTAACCCTTTCTGTGACCTGATCTTCATGTCCCCCTAATTCAGTGGTTCTCAACCTGTGGATCACGACCCCTTTGGGGATTGAATGACCCTCTCACAGGGGTCGCCTAAGACATAACAGTAGCAGAATTACAGTTAAGAAATAGCAACAAAAATACATTTTATGGTTGTAGGGCACCAAAACATGAGAAACTGTATTAAAGGGTCGTGGCATTTGGAAGGTTGAGAACCACTGCCCTAATTTACTCTTGTTCAGTAATCCTTTTAACTCTGCATCTAAGCTTGCCATCATATTGCCCTCCTACTACTACTTTTATTTTTTATTTTTTTGCTTCTCCTGGTAATAGATTTAAGCCTATCTTAAGGTTGTGGCTGAATTTCAAGAAGGGTAGAAATCTTAACAGTATGCATTTGAAATCTATATTTCTTTGTGGCTTGGCTTTATGTCATTATGCCTTTCATATTTTTCTCTTAACTTGAACACACACACAGTCACCCTTAGGGGAGGGAGATGGAAATTAATTATTAACATTAATTTTTTTTATTTGAAGTGTCTTTAAATTAGTTATGGTTATATTCATTGCAAATATGTTTCCAAGTATGCTGTTTTCATTCACTTTGTGATTTTTCAAATTTTTAGGTTTAGCAGCTCACCTAGACTTATTAAACCACACCCCCATTTTCTTCTGACTTTATGGTTCACATGTAATGGTTTATTATATCTGAAATTAATTTTGGCATTTAAATATATTTTAGATTGAATATAAATTAAATCTAAATTATCTGATTAAAATATAAATTTGAAAAAATATATTTTGGAATAAATATAAATGAGTTTAATTATTTGAAACTTCACTATTTGGCTTTTGACTTTGACTTCTTTACAAATAGCCTCAAACCATTTATTGAAAACCCAGAGGATCTGACTTACTCAAGTAAATGTGGACATTGTCTGAATTGAAATGAGAAATCTTGGTGACGGGCCCTAATAACCAGAGATGAAAGTCCACCTCTATTAATCTTTATTTTATTTTATTTTATTTTTTTTTAATCCTCACCCGAGGACATTTTTACATTTATCTTCAGATAGAGCAAGAGGGAGAGAGGGAGGAAGAGAGAGAGAAACATTAATGTGAGAGAGACACTTCAACTGGCTGCCACCTACACGACCCCAACTGGGGCCAGAGACCAACTGCAACCAAGGTACATACCCTTAGTGGGAAGTGAACCTGGGACTCTCTAGTCCGCAGGTTGATGCTCCAACCACTGAGCCAAACAAGCTGGGGCAAAATTCTACCTCTATTGATCTTTATAACCTTTCCAGTTTTCAAAGCATTGTATGTTTTATAAACTTTCCTATCACATGAGGATGGGGCATTAAACTTGTGGATTAATAAATCCCATATAAGAAGATGGAGATTTAGCTCTGGCCGGTCGGTAAGTTGTGGCTCTGTGAACCAGAAGGTTGCAGTTCGATTCTCAAAGGCACATGCCCAGGTTTCCAGCTTGATCCCCAGTAGGTGGCATGCAGGAGGCAGCTGATGATGTTGTGCTCTCACATTGATGTTTCTCTCTCTCTCTCCTTCTCCCTTCCTCTCTTTCTAAAAATTAATAAACTATATACAGCAAAAGATGGAGATACATAGTACTATCCCTGAGATAGGAAAGTAGCTTTGATATATAGTCACTTATTTTTATTTATATATAAGATTCCTAGTTGATACTTATTATAAATGTATTGACAGAGCAAAATACAGAGAACATTCCAAATGCCCACCAGCAGAAAAATTAACAAATGCATTTTGTTATGGGCCAATTATCCAACTTACTACAGTACTTCCAAACTTACTCCTCATTGCCTGCTCTTTGTAAATAGATCTGAACCCTTTAAACATGTTTTCCTTGCCAAGAGGCATGATGTTAAACTTTGTGAGTAGAAGGCACTGGAGAGACATTGAAAGGAGGGGTTTTCCTTCCCAGTTCTCCTGTGCTCCTTGGCAGGCAGCTCTTGCATGCAATGCCTTCTCCAGCATCTGGCCCCTGAAGTGGACGTAGCTTCATCAGCGCACCCATCCTGGAGCACGGGCTGCTGCTATAACATCTACCTGGTTCTTGCAGTTCAAGGTGGCCAGCAAAACCAGCAGCAGGAGCTTTTTTGACCAGTTTTGTAGTCAGGTACCTTTGGCAAGACACTTTTCTATAAAGAGCTTCCCACAGAGGTCTAGAGTCAAGTTTCTGGGGGATTTTGGGATGTAGATGTGCAGCACCACAGCTGCTTCTCTGCTGTGCAGTGAGGCCCATGGGGTGGGAAGACTGTTCATCGGCTGCTCATCTCAGACCTAAGGACAGTGAGCATTCCCGGTATCTGCTATTGTATTCTCTAGAGTTCTCTTTGACTTTCAGTAGAAGCACCTCGTTGCTGCAATGCTGTTACAATCAATCATTCTTTTTTTTTTTTTTTTTATCCTCACCCAAGGACATTTTTCCACTTTTTGTTCAGATAGAGTAAGAGGGAGAGAGAGAAAAAGAGAGAGAGAGAAACATCGATGTGAAAGGGACACATCGAGTGGCTGCCACCCACACGACCAACCAGGGCCGGGGACAAACTGCAACCGAGGTACGCGCCCTTAGCGGGAACCGAAACTGCAGGCTGATGCTCTAACCGCTGAGCCAAACCGGCCAGGGCTCAATCATTCTTTATATTAACTTTTCCTATTTGTGTGTCTTCATGGTTTCTCTGTCTTGACTTGACCTTGACTCATAAGTGTTATATTCATGCAACAGAATGCCTATGTCAGTGAAATTTATCCAACCACAGCCATAATAATGCATGGATCGACCTTCAAAGGTTAGTGAAAAATCAAGTCCTAGAATAGTGCACATGGTATATATAATGTAATGTATTACAAATAATTCAAAAAATGCACAAAGCCAAAAACACATAAGGGATCTAGCCATATGTGGTAAAATTATAAATAATAGGAAAGAGCAGCATAAAATTAAAGAAAGTGAGTATCTCTGGCAGAAGAGAAGGCCACAGGTCGACAGTGCAAGGGTGAGGGACCAAGGGTCCTGGTAGTGATCCTTTTCTTTGTCTGGTTATTGGGGTTGGGGGTTTACTATTGTTATTTTCTGTATTGTTTTTCACTGTACATATTGTCTAATGAGTGTGATAAGATAGCACCTCTCAGCCTCAGGAGCCAGGCAAGGCTTGAGGCCTTTGGCTTAGAGCAGTGCTACAGATTTCCTCTTGTGCTCTTACAAACGGATGTTTTCTCCATGCCCAATGCCAGGAGTAGGTTTGGAAATGCTGAATTAGACTTGATTCCCTGATAATGCCACATAAGCGTTTTAATGTATTAGGCTGTTGTCCTTAATTATAACACATAGCCCGACTTCGGAATAACCTTTTGCAATTATAGAATAAAAATCATCTATCTCTCCTTTTTGATCCATAGGGAGAAGACAAAAATACTAAGATGCACACAGCTCCAGTGTTTTGCTTGTCAATACACCCCTGATGGTTTTTCTGAGCGATGAACATACCAGCTGAATGTGGGTTCTCAACAGAAGCGCTCAGGCCACGTCTCTCAGGGTCCCCGCTGCAGCCTGCACCGTGAAGGCTGCGACAGAGATCTGCCTCCTCACTTCTCGCCAGGCCTTGTGGGGATCCACTTTGCTTTCAATATCAAACAGAGCATCAAAAATTCCTGGGAAGGACTCCCCCTCGTACTTGTTGTGGCTGCTTGGTGCAGAGATGACATGCCTGTTGATAAAAAAGAGTTTGCTGTCTCTTAGTTGCTCAATACAAGAGAAAAACAGGAGCATGCTACAATCCCTGGATCATGTCGTTCTAATTTTATGGTTTCAATAAGCCACTTCTCAACTCAGCTTCCAAGTTCAATCACCTCCAAGGACTAGTCTATGAAATATGTATTAATTAGTTATATTTTGACTTTAAACAGATGACTTAAAGTGGTTCTGAACAACAAAAATAACAATGATAACAAAAATAGCTTGTCACCTACTATGGACCATGCTTGACAGAATTTACCTATAATCTTTTTAATCCTTAAAAATAAACTCTAAAAAGTTAATATTAGTACTTCAAAGAAGAGGAAACTGAGGCCTGGGAGATTAGGTGATTAAGTGATCTGTCTCAAGGCATATTGCAAATAACTACTGACTTCACACTATATCACTCTGTCCCCTGAATTATAGCAGAAGAATTCTGATTATTAAAGTCTTATTTGTGACTAGCCAACTCACTATTTTGTTTTTCTTTCTCTTTACAAAAGAAGCCATGCAAACATGTTAGAATGCCTAGCTTAAAGCATGAACAATCAATTAAAAACAATTCTGCAGTCTTCAATCTAACTCAGGCAGAAGGTGAAGCTTTATGGACAGTTATGTCCACTTCTGTAACAGCCCTGAGAAGGAAGAACAAGTCCCAGAGTGAAAAAGAAGAAAAGAGGCACAATCATGGCACCACTGGTAAACCCGTCACCCTGTTTGGGTAATGCCCTTACTTCCAATTCTAATCCTTTGATAATCTCTAAACAGAAAGATGAGATCATTTCTGATGGTCAATGATTAATTTGGGGACAGAAATAATTACATCTGTAAAAATTTTAAAAAATAATTTAATTGTCAACATTAAGAGAGTGAGTAAATTATAATATATTGTATATATTTATGTATAAATACAGCGTGGGCAAAATTAGGTTTACAGTTATGAGCACACCTGTATATATTCATTGTGTCTTATGTGTATACATGAACACAAATCTATTTAAAATGAGGGAAGGGATAAAATTATATACATTAAAACATAAACATGATTTTATATGTGACTGATGGAATTGGGGAGATTTTTATATTCTCCTTGTGACTTTCTGGATCTTCTAGATTTCTTACAATGAACATATACCCTTTTATAATCAAAAACAAGATACTGACAAGAAAGATACATAGTGATCATATTATATTATAAGAAGAAGAAACATATCAAATACTATATGTATTTTAACATTTTCTATTTGCTTGAAGTAAATCAATTATATATATTTTTTTCTGCAGTGCAAAGAACAGAAATGCTATTATAATGAGTTATTTTCCCCCTTACCTATAGAAAGGCCTGTCTGGTAACCCTAAAGGGTCAATAAATGCTCGTTCCAGAAACATCAGTTGATCATTCATAATTCTTAATAACATTGGGCTAAAAAGGAAATGAATACAGTTATAACATCATGAAAATGTGTGCACTACCTAGAAAACCAAAAAAAAAAAAAAAAAATTAGAATGAAACTAAACAATGCTAATATATTTTAAATTCCTATACTGTCACATTAAAAACAATAATGTAGTTATATTTTAAAATTTTATAAAATACTATTTTGGTGAGGGTTATAAAATCACAGATTATGTGTGCCAATAAAAGAATGACAATACCTTTTATTTATATTGAAATAATAATTAATTAATAAACCCAGGTATTTAAACACAGGTAAGACTGTTTTCATCTTAGGTATCCTATTAATTTACTCAAGGAAGTAATTTCAACACACACACACATATTCTCTCTCTCTCTCTCTCCCCCTCTCCCTCTCTCATCTTGAGGCTAACACTGAAAATCATCAAACATTCTGTACACAGAGAAATGCAATTTGACATAACCCCGGGAAGTAATACTCAGAGCATCAGAGTTATGTACATGGGATCTTTCACTCCCGAAGCATACTGGCCTCCCTAGGGAGACTGGAGAACTAAGCTCTTTAGGCTGAATACAGGAAGGTGTGAGCAGGAAGGTACCATGAAGTCAACACTGTATCCTTTGATGGGTCCCTTGATTCAAGACCAGCAGAAGTAAAGAAGTGCCTCCTCCTCAGATTTCAGTTTTAGCTGAGAAATTCTACATCCAGTTCAGTTTTGTTTAGCCAGCATTTATTATTATGAGATGCACTGCACTGCTCTGGATGTTCAGAATTTGTAAACATAGTAACACAGACACAAACTGTACCTTAAGTATCATTTATAGCAAATAAAACAAATACAGAAATGCATAAGGAAGTGAAAGCTGAGTATTCTAGAAAGCCATAACTGGAGCCATAGCTAGGTTGCCAGGGGGAGAAAATATCATTTTAAGAATAGAAATTCAGCTTCATAAAATATATGGTGTTTGGGATCTTTTCAAAATTTATTTTTCATTGTTAATTTTTTTTTTTACACATAAAAAAATTGGAAAGGATTATAAATTATAAGACAAAAAATCTCCATAATCAGCCCAGGATAACACAATTATCGCACAAATTGTTTTACTTTTTCTCCATGTTTGTTCAATAAAAATGAAATCAACTATATTTAAAATTTTATATCATTTTTGTTTACTTCACATTTTATTATAAATATCTTATTTCCTTTATAATCATCAATTTTAATGCTTGCAAAATGTTTAAATTGGTGGACATCTACATCATTTTTTAGTAATTTCTTTTGTCTTAGGCATTAAGATTAGTTTTAATTATTTGGTATTATAATTCTTTTTTTTTGTTTTTGAGAAGCCTTTTGTTTTCTTTCAAACTTGCGACTTTTCCTTAAGAAAAGATTCAAGAAACAGAAATACTATAGCAAATTGTAAGAACTATGTGATGGCTATTAAAACTTTAGCAATACATATTTATATTTTTCATTTTCTTTATTGATTTTAGAGAAAGAAGAAGGGAGAGAGACGGAAACATCAATAAGAGAGAACATCGATTGGCAACCTCTTGGTGCATGCGTCAACGTTCAACCACTGAGCCACACCGGCCGGGCTGCATTTATATTTTTCAAAAGGTTAAACAACTCACAATGCTTCAGTGAATAGCCTGTAGCAATGGATACAACCATATTTTAAATAGTTATTAATTTGATATGCAAATAGTATAACAATATTTTCATTTGTATTTGAATTCTCAATGAATTTGAATATTTTTTATACCTGTTGCTGTACAGGTGGTATCCTCTTTTAGAATTTTTTATCTTGTCCATTGCCAGTATTTCCAACTTTGATCTTTGGGATTTTCTTACTAATTTTCCAAAATATTCTTTTTATAATGTCTATATTACCCCCTTTCCAAATTTGCTGAAAATGAGGTTTTCCAGGCATTTTTTTTTGGAAAGAAGTCTTAGTGAGGACAATGAGAGCTCTTGCCCCCGGTCCGCTCAGCACTAGGGCACTAGTGAGGAGACAGGCTGTCCCTTGGGGACTACCAAGAGGTTTCCCACTCTTTTATTTTTGTTATTGATAATGCATTTTCATATTATCAACCACTGCAATGTTCTCAAATCTGACTGCATTGTCATTTCCTCGTTGCTTCTAAACTTGGATTTCAATTCCAAGAAATTTCTATTTTTAGTAAAGAAATCTTCCACACCTGTTGCTTAGGTCTGCATACAATGTGAAATGAGTTCACTTTTTTATCAGTTGCTAAAAAAGCTTATACAGCATTATTTTTGAATATGTCTTTCTTTCCCCATTGATTTTTTATGTATCTTTCATTACAAATACACCCTCATATATATCACTAGCTTATTTGTAGACCGTCTGCTTTTTCTGTGTGTTCTTACATAAATCCCCAAGGATTTGATATTTGTATTATCATATGTTTAATATAAAGTAGATGTTCACCCTCAAAATTCTACATAAAAAAATTCCTTGTCCTTGTCAGTTTGGCTCAGCAGTTAGAGTGTTGGCCCATGAACAGAAGGGTTGAAGGTTCAATTCCTGGTCTAGGGCATGTACCTGAATTGCAGGTTCAATCCTGGCCCTGGTTGGTGTCGTGTGGGAAGTAACCAATCGATGTGTCTCTCCCACATCAATGTTTCTTTCTCTCTCTCTCTCTCCCCCCCTCCCTCCCTCCCTTCCACTTTACTTAAAAATCAGTGGAAAAATATCCCCGGATGAGGAGTAACAAAAACAAAACAAAACAAAAATTTCCTTAACATTCTCACATTATTTTTCTCCCATCTTAAAAATCTGTTCAAATTACATTTTATTTTTGTGACTTCATACGGGATTAATCCTAAAATAATGGCTTTACAATATTTGTTATTCCAGATAAATAGAATTTTCCCAGGCAGAAGTGAACAAAAAGAACTCTTTGTGGAGGCAATGACATTAAGAAGAGGGAGAAAGAAGGTGTGTTCAGGAATAAGAGATTTTGGTTGAAGTAAGATGGACAGACACAGGAAGAGCAGGAGACAAAGCTGGAGAAGGCTTTGGTCACACAGTGGAGGCTCTTCAGTGTTAAGGGGGGATTTTGTACTTAATGAGTGGGTAGTAAAGGTGGCACCAGCATTTCTCAGCAGCGCCTTTGCCACTCAGACTGTCAGAAATAGGCAGCCCTGTATGTGTCAGAGTGGAGAAACAGGAGCAGCAAAAAATCTTGTAAAGCTATTTCAAAATAGATGGCAATTTGTATCTCTTCTTAATTATATCCATTATATACCTAACTTGTATATTGTAGAACATACTTGTTTTTGTCCAAGTCTTGGAGTCTCTCACTGAACTTTGAAGCAATTTCTGTAAAGTTCTTCACTGCAGAAAATAGTGAATCTGAAAGAGAAATTAGTACCTAATGGCATTTTTCTATTGTTTAAGCAAAGGGAACAATAAAGAAAGCTGTTGTCCTTTGTATTTTACAAGGCATTTATATTTTGTATGTTACAAGATGAGCAAGAGTGAAATAAAAAATACATTTATAGATGTAAGCAATATGTTTGATCATATGGAACAGCAATAAGTAATAAGTGGACCTAAGGTAGGTCATCATATTTAAGAGATTAACAGAAATATACAGGTAAGGAATACTGAAAGAGGAAGTGTAGCATACCAAATGACACACTGTATGTTTTCATTTCTTGTGGATGTCTCATTGAAATATTGTAGATTTTGTCAGCATACTTTCTTAAAACTACAGCATAATCTCGACAGTCAAAAGGGAGCACTTTGGAATTGGCTAGTTCAAATACCATCCCTCCTCGAACCTGGGCCACAGCATGGTGATACTTAAAAGTTGGATCATAAAACTTTTCCACCAATTCATATGTTTCATAAACACTGTGATACAGTGGATAGCTGCTGAATTTGTTTATTTCCTACAAAAAAAGAGCAAAGAACAGAATATACCTCTTGTAAGATAGCTTATAATCAAATACATAGTGCCATATTTACTATTAATATTAGTGAGACTATTTTGGTCAGTAATGAATAAACTGAAATATTTAAGTACCTCAATAAGCCACTAGCTAAAGGGTTAATATAATATTAAAACCTGTCCCAGGCGTTTACTAATTAAAAAATGTGTGTATGTAACATCAATGATACTATAAAAAAGTATCTTGAAAAAGGCCTAACAGTCATGCCTTTAAGAGAACAGGAGATGTGGAAATGTTTCAGAAACAAAGAAAAGTTATGTTGCATTTGAGTAAAAAATTAAGAAGACAGAATATGTAGAGGAAAATAAGCACTATGCAATATAATACAGGGTAAGGCTGCAAATTGTTTAATGACTGAAATCCCTTGAACAGACAATTCTGTACCAAGTAGTAAGCTGAAGGAAGAGTTAAGTGTCTGAGCAGCGAGGGTTTTGGGAGTGGATCCAAAATCTCACTAAGGAGAGAGAGGAATGATAGAATGGGTACAAGAAACCAGGAACACACGCAAAAGGCAAGAGAGAAAGACATTTTTTCAATCAGTGAATTGTTGATTTATGCCTTTCACCCATTTTTTTTTTTTTTTGGCTGCTTTTTATCTTTTATTGATATAAAAGAACACCTTTTCTCTGGTGTGTTGAAAAGACTGAGACTCTGGAATCAGCCTGTCAGAGTTTGAATCCAGGCTTAGGACTCACTACAAATAATTTTTGGTGGTTAGTAACCCAAAGGTTATTAACCTTTCTTGCTGCAGTTTTCTCCAAGGTGAAATGTAGATAATATTAAAATCTACCCTCATCACTACCCTATCTAACCCTGCCTAACTTCCTACCCCAATAGTAAGAGATGAAAGACTTCCTTTTAGGGGAGAACAACTGGTACAAGGGAAAAGGCCTATACATTCTCAGTATTGGTTGCCTCCAAATGAAGCTCCTAGAACAGACATTCTTGATAACTCTCCTGTCTTAATAAAAAAAAAACTTTTTCAATAAATAATGAATGACAGAGTTGAGAAAAATATTTCAAAAAGAGAAAAAGACATAGAAACAAAAGAGCAAAAATACATCAAAAAAGTTCCTCAAATGCTAAACTAATAGTAGTTCAAAAATGAGAAAAGAGGGAAGAAATAATCAAGGAAAACACATTTTCTCCAACTGCAAGACATACGTTCTCAGACCAGAGGGCCCATTCTGTGTATAGCCCAGTGGATGAGAAAATGGCATAACCAAGCCATAAATGTATACCAAGGACAACTGAGTAAAATACATGAGATTCTGTAATATTCCTTTAAAAAATTCCAGAGATAAAACAACTTGCATCAAATGACCCCAAAATTTCAACAGCAATCCTGAAGGCTAGACAACAATGAAGCCATGAGTTCAAATGGCTTCTGAAGGTAGAGGATAGTCAACCAAAAGTTCTATGCCCAGCCAAACTATGAAAGAATTGTGTGTGGCATAAATAACATTTTCAGACATGCAAGTTCTTTAGATTTCATACACCTTTTTCAAGAAGTTCCTGAAGGACGTGCTCCAAAAGAGGTAGAAAGTAGACAAGAAAAAGGAAGAAACAAAATCCAGAAAACAGAAGGTACAATATAGGAGATAAATGAATGTACTTTCAGATTTCTCCATGAAGGAAAATTTCACAGGCAAGGGCTGTAGCACAGGCAGAGAGAACCACCATAGAACCAGAGAAGCCAGAGAAGAGCCCCCAAGGGGGATAATGAAATCTGCCAGATCACCTGATGTGTTTGAATAGATGAAGAGTTTGTGGTAAATTAGTTATGGATACATGGAGGAAGAAATAAAGGTTTCCTAATCAACAAGTATAGTGCAACTATAAACTGAGAAAATGTGGTGAGAGTTAAGTATTTGTGGGTTGAGAGAAGAAAGCAATGTAAGAAAACTGAATGCCTATCTTCCCTAGTAAGAAATAAATAGATAGTACATAAAACTGATTACTTGAAAGAATTTTAATCTGCTGAACAGAATCAACGGTGGGCAGGCATGAAGGTGGGATAAGGGACCACTATTTTTCATTATAAATTCTTCTAGTACTTGTGACATTTTATGAACCAAATACCTATGTTTCTTTCATAAAAGTAAAAACTATAAAATTGTCATTATTATCAGCAACAACAATAAAGAAAACCATGACTTGTATATCTATTCACTGTTTATTATGTCATTTGTTATTATAACTTTCGTGGTTAATGGTTGGAGACATAGTCAGATAAAAATTAAAATATTTGCAGGTTTTGATACAAGATTAGTTTTGAATGACGATGAGTAGAGAGGAGTCAAAGACAATTCCTACATTTCTGGTTGAAATAACTAGGTGAATGCAATAACACTAAATGAAACAGAAAATATATTTAAGGGAGTACATGGAAGTCCAAGTTATAAGGCTCAAGATACCAGATGCAGGAAATGTCCCCAATAGTAGCACCATCTCAAACATTGAGATTTCTCCCTCTGCTTCAAATTCCTCTATTCCCATAGTGCTTTGAATGATTTGTTTGGCTAAAATATATTCATAAATAACCTTGAAGTACTTATGTATAGACTTACCCAATTTTTGGTATACCGTGCTCTGCCTGAAGCAATTCCGAGTCTTTGGAAGAACACCTCAAAATCATTACCAGATCCCAATTTGCTAATCCTTTTAGGAATAAAACTCAGGATTACTTGAGCAATTTTTTCATCAAGTACAGATTAAAGATTAAATTCCATTCTTAATATACTAAAAATTAAATATAATTTTTAGATGTATTGCCTTAGACAAGCAGTTCTGATCACAACCTTTCTACTATAAGAAGATTTTGGGTGGGGTGACCATTGTTTTTTGGGTTCCTATGAGTGGATGGGGATTATCCCCATACCAAAAATAATCAGTTCTTCAGGAGACCAACTAGGTGTCCTACAATTCAACTCAACACTGACCCTATATACCTGGAGATAGACTTAGATTCTACAGGTTAAGGGTTCATTCCCACAAGACTGTCCCGCCACTTTCCCTACTTCAGAAGCCAACTGAAGCCCAGGTTGTTACCTGTGCTTCTCACCTACCAGATAAAAACTGGAGGTTCCCATGACCTCCTCCCTGAGTTCAATTAATTTGCCAAAGTGGCTCACAGAACTCAGAGAAACATTTTACATAGTAAATCACTTGGTTATTATAAAAGGATATATAGTATATATAACTCAGGAACAGCCAGAGGGAAGAAATGCATAAGGCAAGGTATGAGGATAGGACACTGAGTTCTAGGCTCTCTCTCCCTGAATCTCCACATGTTCACCAACCTGAGGCTCTTCGAACCCAGTCCTTTGGGATTTTATGAAGCCTCCATTATATAGGCATGGTTGTTAAAAGCATTGGCCACTGTTGAATAATTCAACCTCCAGCTCCTCTCCTGTCCCTGGAGGTCAGAATTGGGACTGAAAGTTACAACCCTCTAATCATGTGGTTGGTTCTCCAGGCAAACAGCTCCCATCACAGAACAAGAATCACCTCTGCAGCTCTCATCACTCAGGAAATTCCAGGAGTTTTAGGAGCTCAGTGCCAGAAAGGGGACAAAGACTAAATGTATACTTCTTATTATAAATCACAATATAACAATAGTATATTGCTTTTTTTAAAGATCCATAAAGTAGGAAAATATTTCCTTTATTAACTTATCATCTATATTTATTGTATATAACACAGTTAAAGAAGCAGAGATTTTTCAAATAATTCAGGTGTAAATTCTATTCTTACCATTTTTAATTATTCATATTGTTGATACCTATAATCTTAAACTACTGAGACATGTTTCCTTGCTTGTGAAGATACAACTGTGGACTCCAAGAATAAAGATTCATTTGTTGTGACCTCTGAGAAGAAGAAGTTTATCTGGTGAGATGGACTCCCCAAGGTCAACCCAGGGCCCACATTTTAGAACCGAGAACCTAGTTTGTTGACGGTGGCTCCTCACATAGTCAGTTTGCCAGGAAGAGTCTCACACTGAGCTCTTCCTTCCTGCCCTATGCCTGCCTTGTTTATGCGGCCGGAGTCAACCACTGCAGGGAAACCCTGGGTTCCTCTTCTACACATAACTGAGACCTACCCAGTCCAATCAGGACTGCACAATTTGGATATCTCATCTACATAAAAGGGACCTAATTGAGAAGCGGGGTGGAAACTTTCACTGTAACAGGTGGCCTCCTGCCCTGGCTGGTGTGGCTCAGATGGCTGAGTGTCTTCCAAAGCATGGAGGGGTCACTGCTTCGATTGCTGGTCAGGGCATATGCTTGAGCTTCGGGCTTGATCCCCAATCATGATGTGTGCAGGAGGCAGCCTATTGATGTTTCTCTCTCTCCCCCTTCCTCTCTCTTTAAAATAAATAAAAACGTATTTTTTTAAAAATGGCCTCCCATTGTGAGGGTGAGGGGGTGAGTGGACAAGTGAGGTTGCTCCCTGATCTGTGTCTCATGGGCTGCAGGTCCTTTTTACTCAAACAAATGCTTTCTATTTTCTATCACAGTCTAAATTAATTTTCCCTTCCTTCCTTCCTTCCTTCCTTCCTTCCTTCCTTCCTTCCTTCCTTCCTTCCTTCCTTCCTTCCTTTTTTAGAGAGAGAGGAAGGAAGAGAAGTAGAAACATTGATGTCAGAGAGAAACATCAATCGGCTACCTCCTGCATGCGCCCTACTGGGGACTGAGCTCAAAACCCTGGCACGTGCCCTGACCAGGAATCAATCTGGGACCTCTCCGTCCATGGGGCGATGCTCAATCCACTGAGCCACACCAGCCCGGCTAAAATTATTTTTTATTTACACAACCCAAACTGAAATAGTGTCTAGGTATTTCTTAGAGTAACTAAAATATTTGTTAATTGTACAATGTTCAGAAAAAAAGGTAATTATTATAGAGTGCATAGGGGACAGAAATAGGAGGGGGAATTACTTTCCACCATTATAACCTTTGATTTATATACCATGTGTAAATATTACCTAGTCAAAAGGAAAGCATTTTTTGATGGCTTACAGATTTCCCATTCAAAATACACAATACTATTTTATTTGAGAACCTGAACATCACTTTTGCTTGATTCTCCATCAGATGATGAAGAATTTTGAAAAATTAAAATTTTGTTATTAATGATTGAAAGAAAATACCCTTTTATTTCCAACACAGTCCCATACTAAATTCAGTAGGGAGTTTTATCTGTTTGTTTGTTTACCTGGGCATGCCAATAAACTCTGGTGAGGGACTTTTTTTATTCCAGCTCTCATAGAGAGATTTGCCTTCAAAGCCTTCATCAGGACTTTGGAGCTACACAAGTTGAGAGAGAGAGAGAGAGAGAGAGAGAGAGAGAGAGAGAGAGAGAATACTTATATCAGATGTTTTAAAATCTAAATGTCCATTAACCAGGGAATGAACAGCTAAACTATATTCAACAAAACAAGCAAGCATCCTGGCCAGATGGCACAGTTGGTTGGAACATCGTCTGGTACACTGAAATGTGGGTTTGATTTCTGGGAGGCAACGAATTGATGTTTCTCTCTTTCCCTTCCTTTCTCTTTAAAATCAATGAAAATATCCTCAGGTGAGGATTTTAAAAAAAACAACAGAAAACAAAACAAGGGAAGCAATTCATATATTAGCAGTCATTAAGACTTACAATAATGAGCTTCTGACAATATGGAAAAATGCTAATGTTATTTATAAGTGCAACTACTATTAAAATAATACATGAAATATATGGAAAAGAGGCTGCACCAAATTATGCCAGGTCACTGTATTTGAAGGAATGGTTATATTATTTTAAGAATTTTATTTATTTTTCTGAATTAAGGGAAGCTACTTTCAAAAACATTATTTCTCCTCTTATAAAAACAATAGAAAAGAAGCAATTAGTTAAGAAAGAAGATTCCTTTTAATATTGCTTCTTTGCCAGTAAGGTTGCTAAAATCATTAAATAATACATAATGATGCAAATGCATAAATATTTTAAATAGTTGAGAATTTATTGCAATTGCATAACATACTGGGTTTTAAATACATTTTCCGGTCTTACAGACTAAGGGAGTAAAATATGACCTATTGTTGAATTCTAGACTTAGAGCATTAGATGTTATGCCAAAAACATTTAGCAAATAATCTTTAATTGATGTTCTATAGTTACTTATAGGTTATTGAATAATGTATGGTATAGAATGTTTTTATTTTCTATTTAATAAAAGTCCTATGTTCTATTTTCAACAAATTCAATTTCAAAATGTTTATAGAGTACTTATGATGTTTAAGACTTTTTGTGAATGTTGGGGGTACAAAGTTTGATAAGACAAATTTCATATTCCCACTATTTTACTCAAGTTTATAAATTTACACAACCCTTTGGTATAAGGGACAGTATCACTTCATTTATTCTAAGAAATGCACATCTGGAATATTATAAAAACATATAACTAAATTCTCAGTTTATCACTAAAAGTTGAAAAGTTGCAATTCACTTTTCCAAAAAAAAAAAAAAAAAAAAAACAACCCAAAACAGAATGAAACAAAACTGAAAATTGTCAAACATCACATAATTTCAACGCTGACCTGAAGAGGAGTGTTTTTGCAATAATCCCAGGGTGCCAAATGTCCAATAAACAAAATAAGTAACATGAACAGTGGAAACTCTCTGAAATACTGTTTCAGATATTTAAATTTTTACACATTTCGCAAATGATAGAGTGCCTCTCTTTTTTTTTAAAGCTTTGCAGTTTTTATTTTTATTTATTTAATTAATTAATTTTTTTGTTCATCTTCACCCAAGGATATTCTTCCATTAATTTTTTGATAGAGTGGAAGGGAAGACAAAGAGAGAAACATCATTGTGAGAGAGACAGTTCAATTGGTTGCCTCTTGCATGACCCCAGCCTGGGCTGGGGATCAACCTGCAACCCAGGTGCCTGCCCTTGACTGGCCAGGGCGATGACGGAGCTCATAAGAAACAACATGAATAGACATTTTTCAAATTAGTGTTTTGTACTTTTGTAGAAAGAGTTAAATTATAAGGTTAAATTCCATGCTTTTGAAACCAAAGTTTAGCAATATTTGTCTTATTTAAAATCCCTACCTGAAAGGAAATGTCACCTTTAACTTGGTATTTACATTTCAATTTGTACTTTTATTAAATAGTCAAGTCTTTTGTTTCCTTTCCAATGCAAATCAGGTAATTAGCAGTGAAAAAAAACTGTCACTCATTCATTATGACTAACTTTAGGAACTGTGGATTTATGGGGCAGGAGAACTAAAGTGAAGAGTTGCCTGTCCTTTAGGAATTCAGGCATCAACTCTCCACCATGTTCAGTACCTTGAGCTGCTGTCAGAATGAAAATGACTTTAGCTGTCAGCCCAGCCCTGTACAGCTCAGAGGATTGGAGCCAAAGTCAGGAAGTCAGGAAAGGGGTACATGTCCTCACCTAGACTCTGCCCCAAATGGACTTGTCCCTAAGAGCCAGCACTTGGTGTTTGTTTGTTTTTTAATTTACTTTTGTTACAGGTGTTTCTCCTTTTTTCCCCATTGACACCCTCCTCCCCATCCCCCCAACCCATCCCCAGCTTTGTTGTCCATGTCCATTGGTTATGCGTACATACATATAAGTTCTGTGGTTTATCTCCCGCCCCCTCTTTTCTGAGGGTTGTCAGTTTGTACCCTACTTCCACCTCTTTGGGTCTACCCTGTTCTTCAGACTGTTTATGTTCATTATATTCCACAAATAAGTAAGATCATGTGATATTCGTCTTTCTCTGCTTGGCTTGTTTCGCTTAGGATAATACTCTCCAGGTCCCTCCATGTCATCTCAAAGGATAAGGAATCTTTCTTTCTAAATCTGCATAATACTCCATTGTGTATACGTATAACTGCTTTTTGATCCATTCGTCTACTGATGGACACTTGGGCTGTTTCCAGGTCTTAGCTATTGTAAATAATGCTGCGATGAACATGGGGGTACATATATTTTTTCTGATTGGCATTTCAGGCTTCTTAGGGTATATTCCTAGAAGTGGGATCACTGGGTCAAATGGAAGTTCAATTTTTAATTTTTTGAGGTAACATCATATTGTTTTCCATAGTGGCTGCACCAGTCTGCATTCCCACCAGCAGTGCACTAGAGTCCCCTTTTCTCCACACCCTCGCCAACACTTGTTGTTTGATTTGTTGATGGCAGCCATTCTGACAGGTGTGAGGTGATACCTCATAGTTGTTTAATTTGCATCTCTCTGATGATTAGTGATGTTGAGCATTTCTTCATATGTCTCTTAGCCATTTGTATGTCCTGTTTGGAGAGGTATCCATTTAGTTCCTCTGCCCATTTTCTAATTGGGTTCTTTGTCTTTCTTTTGTTGCGTTGTATGAGCACTCTATAGATTTTGGAAATTAACTTCTTATCTGATGTATCATTGGCAATTATGCTCTCCCATACAGTGGGTTGCCTTTCCATTTTGATGATTCTTTCTTTTGCTGTGCAGAAGCCTTTTAGTTTGATGTAGTTCCATGTATTCATTTTTTCCTTTGTTTCTGTTGCCTTAGGTAGTGTATCAGTAAAAATTCTGCTGTGTATGATGTCCGAAATTTTGTTGCCTACATTTTCTGTTAGGATTTTTATGGATTCATGGGTCACATTTAAGTCTTTTATCTATTTTGATTTTATTTTTGTGTATGGTGTAAGTTGATGGTCTAGTTTCTTTTTTTTTTTTTTTGCATGTAGCTGTCCAATTTTCCCAACACCATTTATTAAAGAGGCTGTCTTTACTCCACTGTATGCTCTTGCCACCTTTGTCAAATATTAATTGAGCATACTGTCTTGGGTCCATTTCTCGGTTCTCTGTTGTGTTCCATCGATCTATCTGCCTGTTCTTGTGCCAGTACCAGGCTGTTTTGATTAAAGTAGCTTTGTAATATAACCTGATATTTGGTATTTTGATCCCACCTACTTTGTCCTTCTTTTTCAAGATTACTGTGGCTATTTTGGTTCCATATGAACTTTTGAAGTATTTGTTCTAGTTCTGTGAAATATGTAGTTGTTATTTTGATGGGGATTGCATTGAATCTATAGATTGCTTTGGGTAATATAGACATTTTAATGATGTTAATTCTCCCAATCCATGAACAAGGTATGTGCTTCCACTTTTTTATATCTTCCTCTATCTCTTTTTTCGATGTCCTGTAGTTTTCTGCAAATAGGTTCTTTACTTCTTTGGTTACGTTTATTCCTAGATATCTTAATTTTTTTGCTGTGGTGGTGAATGGAATTTTTTTTTTTTTTAGTTTCTTTTTCTGTGAGTTCATCATTGGTGTATAAGAATGCTGTTGATTTCTTGATGTTAATTTTGTATCCTGCTACTTTGCCAAATTCATTTATTAAGTCTAGTAGATTTTTGATAGAGTCTTTAAGGTTTGTATGTATAATATGTCATCTGCAAACAATGACAGTTTCACTTCCTTCTTTCCAATTTGGATCCCTTTTATTTTCTCTTCATGTCTGATTTCTGTGGCTAAGATTTCCGGTACCATGTTAAATAAGAGTGGCTAAAGTGGGCATCCCTGTCTTCTTCCTGTTCTTAAGGGATATGCTTTTAGTTTTTGCCCGTTGAGTATGATGTTGGCTGTAGATCTTTCATATATGGCCTTTATTATGTTGAGATATGATCTTTCTATTCCCACATTGTTGAGCGTTTTTATAGAATGGGTGCTGGATTTTGTCAAATGGTCTTTCAGCATCTATTGATATGATCATGTGGTTTTTATCTTTCATTTTGTTTATATGGTATATCACATTTATTGATTTCTGATTATTGTACCATCCTTGCATCCCTGGGATGAATCCCACTTGATCATGGTGAATAATTTTTTGATGTATTGCTGGATCCGATTTGCTAGTATTTTCTTCAGGATTTTGGCATCTATGTTCATCAGGAACATTGGCCTGTAGTTTTCTTTCTTTGTAGTGTCTTTTACTAGTTTCGGAATTAGAATTATGCTGGTCTTATAAAATGAGTTTGGGTCTTCTTCTTGAATTTTTTGAAATAGTTTGAGGAGAATGGGTGTTAGTTCTTTAAATGTTTGCTAAAACTCCCCTGTGAAGCCATCTGGGTCTGGGTGGGGTTGAATCTCCAATAGAGGGGCCGCCGCCTCCCTCCAGAGCCCTGGGATGGAGCAATATGGCCACCATCCTGCGTGGCTGCAACTCAGCAAAAGCTCTGAGCGCCCTCCAAATCCCGAGTGTCCTGACACAGCTCCAGTCCAGTCCGCCCTCCCTCTGCTAGAGCCCAAGGTGAGTGGCTGTGGCTATTTTAGTGTCTGTCCCGGCTCTGCGCTGTGGAGCTGCTTGGGAGTGTAACCCAGAGGGCTCTGCTCACAGCTAAGACTGCTGCTTTCATGGGCTCCCAGCCCCCCTCTTGCGCCTCCGCAATCCTACCAGAATAGATTCAGTGTACCTGGTTATATGGTGCTCGCAAGCTGCTTTTCTGTTGCTGTTTCCCGACGATTTGTCTTTATTTTAGTTGTAATTCCAGTTTGGTCCTGGGAGATGGTCTGTGTAGCTTCCATTCACTCCGCTGCCATTTTGGAATCCCCAGCACTTGGTGTGTTTTTAATCATACCCCTTCTCAGTTAGAAACTTTAAGTCTTCCTGCATCCTGAATTACTTGATATCATTCATTAGATTAAGGAATATAAGCCAGTTTTAAAATTAAGGAATTAAAGCACAGGATCAAGACCCGGTTCAGCTACTGGACACATTGTATAACTTTGGTGGCTACTGCTTTTAAAGCTCCAGTGTTCTCATTTTTAAGTGGGAATGAAGACACATTGCCTCAGGGTGGTGTGGGGAGAAATGAGATAATGTGTGTAAATGTTTTATTAGATGTAATGTTCTATGGAGTGGATATTTGCTATATGAGAAATAGATAATACAGGCCCAGATTGTAAGTCAGATCCCCAGTGGGGAGCATGCAGGAGATGACCAATTGATGTTCTCTCTCATTGATGTTTCTATCTCTTTCTCCCTCTTACTTCCTCTCTCTCTAAAATCAATGAGGGAGAAAAAATTTTTTGAAAAGTCATAAAACATTAGAGATGCTTAACATAATAATGGTACCTCAAGATAACAGCATTTGCAGCACTCAGGTTTTCTAAAATTACATGTAATTATTTATACCTCCTTTGTTAGGTTGTATACCAAGCTGTACATCAGTGGGGTACAATCGACTCTCAGAGTGTAGTTTCCTGAAAGATAGAGGATAATTTTTTTACTTCATTTATTTATTTCAGTCTTTCATCCAAAGACCACCTAACTCCTTAGCCAAATGATCATTTTAAAACCTGAGTTTGATCAAAACTCATCGTCTTCAGTGCCATAGATGAAGCCACCGCACTCTGCCCACACAGACTTTTTCTCCAGGTCTTTGTACACATTGTTCCCCCAGTGTTCTGCACTACAGCTGCATGACTAACTCTCCTACTTCACTTAGACCTCTGGTCTAATGTCATGTTTTCTGAGGTTTTCTCTGAATGAAAAAGTCAAGATGCAGAACCCAGAAGAGGTAGTATCTAAAAAGCCCGTATAAGGTAGTGAGAGGCAACATAATGCAGTGGTGAGAAGGATGAAGTGGAAAGAGACCAGTTTGATTGGAATCTCAGCTATGCCCTTTACAATCTGGGCGATCCTGGGAAAGTTAATGAATCCCTCTGAATCTCAGTTCCCTCTTCCATACAAGAGAAGTAATAATACTTACCTCACAGGCTTATTGAGAGCATTAAATAAACTTTTACATGTAAAGCTATACTGTTGGTTTGTGTGAGCTAAATTCTACATACGTTTGTATCATTTGTTTTTGATCTGGAAAATGATAGGGAGACAATGCAGCACTTTACAACAGAGAATGACATGATCAGCAAAACCCAATGATTTAAAAACATTCATTAAAAAGGACAGATGGGAGAATGAGTTTAAAAAATGAAAAGCACGAAAAACATACTAAAAATAAAATCTTAAAAAAACTAGCAATAAAGAGAACATTATGCTACTTTTGAAAAATATATGGAGTATTAGTCTGGCATATATTAGTCGTGGCAAAGTGTCTCATCTTACTATGTGTTTTAAAATAAGGGTAATGATAATACAAGCTGACATGTTTTAACATTCAGTTTGTTTAAGCCACAGGTCTGGGAGTTTTGCAAATATTAACCTTTCAGTCCTTACAGGAGCCTTTGAGATATGTGTTCTTAGTAACTCCATTTACAGGTGAGAAAACTAAGATACAGAAAATAAGTACCAATCTGAGGTCACAAAACTAGAAAGTACCAGTGACAGGAATAAGGCCAGGCCCTTAGCCATGAACCTAAGAAGGAAACAATAGCTCGAATGTACTGCATAAACTAAGTTAGGAGGCAATGTAGCTCACACATGTTGACAAAGAAGAAAATGTAAAGGCCAACATGCCTCCATCCAAAGGGGTTTGCAGGCTAGGTGAAAAAGATGACGGGATGGAGAAGCACAAATTGGCAGTTTTATAATAGTCACGGGGATGTAAAATACAGCATAGGGAAGATAGTCAATAATATTGCAGTAACTATGTATGGTGCGAGGTGGGTACTAGACTTATTGGAGTGCCACTTAGCAAGTTATGTAACTGTCTAATCACTATGTTGCACACTATGTTGAAACTAATATAATACTGAGTGTCAACTGCAATAGAACACCACTTTAAATTAAATATATATATATATATAAACATCCATTACTTTGGGAACAACAACAAAACATGATACCTTTCTTGCTACCTCATTCTAAAATCAGCGAAATCTTTAGTCCCATGATTCACTTATTCATTTGACAGGTATTTACTGAATTCCTACCATATACAAGTAATCTACCAGATGAAGCACAGAGTTCGGCTTTCCCGAATTAGCACTCTGGGCCTACAGCTGCCGTGAGTCTGGGCAGGAGCCTGGAAAAGCAACAGCAGATTCCCTAGTCACATGCCAATCAGCTTGCCTTCCTTATTAGTGCATAATTTATTAACCAAACTGCTCCTACTACCATGATCACGTCTTTTCCTATGAGACCAATGACATTCACCTTCTATAGAGGAATCAGCATTAATGTAGGCCACACCGCGCTCCTGAAGGAGTCTGGAATTCTCCTATAATATGAAAGAAAGACAATATAAACATATAGCTATAACCTTACCCCAAAACTGCATCTACATTAACTGTGTACAGATTTCTGAACTACGCTGGCCCAGATTATCCACAAACTTGACATATAAGATTACCAAAATTATTTTTGAAAGAATTTTAATAAAAACTATTGGTAAGAATAATCAGTAAAACATCTGTGAGACTAAAATGTAAGCTAAAACTGTCCACATTTTTCATCTGCTGAAAGGAACCATACTATAATTTATCCTTTGAGAAATTCTCCTAGCAAATATGAACAACCTAAGAGATCCTTTCATTGGAAGTCTTCTCATGAATATCTCATTATTTAAGTATAGAATCTTGCCTGATTCCCAGAGAATGAGTTATTTCAAACATGCTGGTTTAAAAAACAGTACATTTCAGTAGTCTGTGTCATGAAGTTTTCCTGTAGGATGCCACCATCTACTGGTCAACATCAATCATTGCAGTTTTAAAATGAAAGCAAGTATACTCAGCAAGCTTTTTGTTGTTGTTAATCCTCACCGGACAATATTTGGATATTTTTTCCACTGAGGGAGTTGGGGGGTGGGGGGATAGCATCAAAGTGAGAGAGACTCATCAATTTTTTGCCTACCAAACTCGCCCTATCAGGACCAGGGATTGAACCTGCCACCCAGGTAGGTGCTGTTGGCAAGGAATCAAATCTTTGGCAGACCAACGTCCTAACCACGAAGCAAAACCCTCCAAGGCACAAACTTTTTTTGAGACATCAAGTGGATTCTGAATCTCTTAAACATGCAGTTTCCAAAGCATCTGACTCTAAGAAAGAAAATAGAAAAAACTTGGGGTATATAAATGTGGTTAGCTTTAGGAGCTAATTTGGAAAGGGTAATAGAAACATGATATCTTATTTTTCTACTTGATTTCTAGTGAATTTACTTAGTTCCTATCACACTCCAGAAAATCAAGTTATTTTGAAAGTGGACATTAACTGGCTCTAACATGTTCAAATGGAAGTTAGTTCTTTTTATTGTTGATTTTTGAACACGGATATGTTGCTTTAGATTTTCTGGAAAAAAGTTTAAATATTTTCTCACTGGAGTCACTTGTTATTTTTACATCCTCAAGAATTAAATCTGAACTGCTTTCTTATTATGAAAATATATATTGTAGCAAATGACCAACTAACCTCTGCCCACTCAGTAGAACCAAGAAGACCAAATTCTTCTGCATCCCAGCTTGCAAACAAAATTGTTCTTCTAGGCCTCCATCCTAAAATATATGTATATACAAATAAATGCTGAAAAAAGTGCACAATATGTCTAAGACACTGCCAAGCCCAACAGGAAAAATGACAACAAACAAAACCATCAATTGTTTAGGTTTGCGATGATTGGCTATGCACAGGAAACCCTCTGTCACCTACAGCTGCCCAGTGCGGACAAAGGGCGCTAGATGTGGTCTGTGTTCCCAGAGCAGATAAAACAGAGAAAATCCTTGACAGCTCTTCCTGTTCTGGCATCACATGATTGTTCAATGTCAGCTGGTTGTGATTTCACCCAGCTCTGCCAGGATTAGTCCACAGAAGCTCAGCTAACATCACCAATGTCTGCTGTGACTGAAAACTACATAATTCAGTAGGGAGGTCTTATGGCTCCGAGTCATGAACACTGGCCCTACTAGCAGTGTGACCTAGGGAAAGCTATTCAAACTTACTAAGCCTTAGTTTCTGCATCTGTACAGCAGGAGTAACAAAGTAAAGATACCTTGATTGTTGGAAGGATACAATGGAATACGATTTATAAATACAGCACTTTGTAAAAATTCTAAGTTGCCATTATTTTAAGTACGTAACTATATCACTTGTGCTTATTGAGAATGTGTATCCCTACACCTGTTGAGTCCAGTGTTTCATTTTTTCTCAGGTTTGTTAGTAGTATTATTCAGATTTCCTGTAACATTATTTCTCATCTTTGGCATGCACTAGAATTGTCCCAGCAATGTTTTGTACTTACCATAGGGAATCTTCTTACAAAATCATGAAAATCTTTGTAAGAATATAACACACTACTGAATTCATAAACTGTAAATTCAGGTTTCTATAGTTCTGTTTTCTAAAAATATAGCATAGCTAACTAGGGGGAAACATATAGAGCACATTTACACTTTATTTAAAGAAAGACATTGTGGTTTTATGAATTGAAAGCCAGAAATTTGAGTTTAAGCCTTGGTTCTCTGACTTTGCCACACACTAGCTATGTAACCTTGAGTGAATTACTTGATTATATAAAGCTTAGTTAGCTTAGTTGTAAAATGCAAAAAGAAATAACTAGGTAAACATTTCCCTGGTTGCTATTAGTTCAAAATAGATAGCACGTGAAAACACCGTTTCTCTAAGAAAATAAGTACCGTGCACACTTAACCTATTTTTTACCATTGTGTTTATTATTGCTAAAAAAAATATGGATCACATTTACAGCCCCAAGACACCTTGTTTGCAGGGTCAGTAAAGAGAGTAGACTTTTGCTCTCATTGTATAAAAATTATTTTAAAAAGCAACTATTTCAATTAAATTTTATTTGTTTTTTTTTATATGAAGATTCTAAAATGACTGAAGTATGTTGCTAACAGTATAACCCTAAATTTTGGACAGCAATCCAAAGCTGGGGGTTTGAGGATGCAGACACTGAATTTTTGACAGTATCCTATTAGTCAAGAAGACCAGTATTTTTCCGAATAAGTTTTGATCTCCTCAGTTACTTAGCACACTTGACCTGTGGTATGAGGCTGGAAGAGCCCGAAGAAGTTCTGCTCACAGTTCCCAGACCAGGAAGCTTTGGCTTATCACCTAATCCTGGTGTGTGCCCTTCTGTGAGGAAACCCATTTCCACCTTCTTAGTTGCTAAGAACAACCATTAACAGTGTAATTCCTTTATTTCAGATTATAGTTCAATATAAAAGTATCAATAAATATTAGTATATACACATAAACATGAATAAGCAATATAGTTAATAATTAGCATAAATAATATAGTCACAGTTCATTGAAAGCTATTCTGAGCTACTCATATGACAGTTTGCCTGTGTCCTCTCAGTTCACCCTCACACAAACCTGTGAAGTAACATTTTCACACGCACTCAACAGAGAACTAAGCTGAGACTCAGAGAAGTAGGTTTTTTACCTCTTTGTTTAAATTACCTTCTTTTTTCAGAATTCCAAAACTCCTCACAATTTCGTGAACTACCGCTGCTCCACTCTGAGGGTCAATGCCACCAAACACCCATGAGTCACGATGACCTCCAAGAATGACATATCTGTCTAGAAAGCATCATTGCAACATTACTTGTCACTCCAGGTAAACAACATAGCACACTGCAAATGACTGAAGAGCAGCTGAACTCAGAGCATCAAGACTCAAGGAAGCCCTGGCCGGGTTGCTCTGTTGGTTAGAGCTTCGTCCTCATACGTCAGGGTGCGGGTTCAATCCCCAGTCAGAATCAACCAATGAATGTGTAAATGAGTGGAACAACAAATTGATAACTCTTTCCTCTCTCTCTCTCAAATCAATAAAAAATAAGTAAAAAGACCCAAAGGAAGACAGCGACTTGTGTACACATTATATATTTTTTTTCTGATTTTGACATACAAAGAAAATATGAAAGTGATAAGCAAATTACAGTAATTATAGGTATATGTGTAATGATAATTAGGTATAAATTTATCCTATTCACTCCTCTCTTACTGACTCAGCACTGTTTCCAGTATTTTCAGATTAAGAGAACAAAATGGCCCCATACCAAGTTCTCCACTTCCTAGTCCTTCTATTTATTTTCAAGGTACAGGTCAAAGATTTCCCACCTTGCCCTGGCCAGTTTGGCTCAGCGGTTAGAGCGTCAGCCTGCGGTTCAGAGAGACCCGGGTTCGGTTCCCGCTAAGGGCACGTACCTCGGTTGCAGTTTGTCACTAGCCCTGGTTGGGTTGTGCAGGTGGTAGCCACTCGATGTGTCCCTTTCACATTGATGTTTCTCTCTCTCTCTCCCTCCCACTCTATCTGAACAAAAAATGAAAAAATGTCCTCAGGCGAGGATAAAAAAAAAAAATACAAGAGGAAAAAAATAACAAATATTTTCCACCTTTATGAACCATTCCTAGTTTCCAGGGTGGGAGAGAAATGCTTCCCCACCTAGCCCTCAGGGCAATCTTTTCATATCTGGAAGAGCACTTACCACACTTAAATGTATGGCTCCCCTCCCAGCCCTGAGTTCCTTGTCCTCACATGGTGTCTTTTTTTATCCTGCCATCCCCAGTGCTTAGCTCAGAGCTGGCAAAAATAGGCACTCAGTAAGATTCAACAGACAGGCAGTTATGTATTGTTTAGTTTTCACTGGAAACATATCAATATTTTCGATCACTGAAGGACAGCATTGGCTTCTTGTCAGAAACATATAGAGTTTAATTGGATCTGTTTTGCTAAAAACAAATAACCAAATAATTTCTGAAGAACTGAAACATAACGAAGTAAGACTTTTTATTAGATGTATTAATCTCCAGGTCATCTGAAATCCTATGGAAATCATGTGTCTAAACAGTTCATCAACGTCAATGAAAAAAAAAAAAAACTGCAAAAAAATTCATTAATTCAAGGTTACTTTAATTTTCTTTCTTTTTTTTCCCTTTATTGATTTGAGAGAGAGAGGAAGTGAAAGGGAGAGAGAGATAGAAACATCGATGAGAGAGAACATCAACTGGCCGCCTCCTGCACGCCCCCCACTTGGGATTTGGCCCACAACCTGGGCATGTGCCCTGACTGGGAATTAAACTGGCGACCTCTTGGTGCATGGGTCAACGCTCAACCACTGAGCCACACCAGCCGGGCTTGGTTACTTTAATTTTCTGAGTGATGTCTTTTATATAGATATTTAGAATTATCATGAAGATATATCCACATGCAAAACTATGTAGTAAATAAATCCAGAAAACTCGAGAAAACACCTATAATCCACCGCTCCTTGCCCTTCCTCCCTTTGATCCTCTAAGCCAGTGGTTCTCAACCTTCCTAATGCCGCAACCCTTTAATACAGTTCCTCATGTTGTGGTGACCCCCAACCATAAAATTATTTTCATTGTACTTCATAACTGTAATTGTGCTACTGTTATGTCTTAGGTGACTCCTGTGAAAGGGTCGCGACCCACAAGTTGAGAACCGGTGCTTTAAGCAAAGCATGCACATTTTATCCCCAACCTTGGTCATCTGACCAACCTAGCCCCACCATTTACTTTTCTTTCGTTCTTTCTTCCTTCCTTTTTTTTTTTTTTTTTTTTTTTTTTTTTACAATATATATCACAAATACAAAATTATTTCATACTTATGTACTTTGTGTCTACGTATGTTCCATTAGGGTAGAACATTGTTTTGCTTGTTCACCTGATAGTCCCAGAGCTCAGACCGGTACCGGGCACAGAAGACTTGTCCCTCTGATATTTGCTGATTGTCTCACCTGGTTCCACGGCTCCTCGGAGAGTTCCAATCACATTGCAAATCCTTGTCACTTTGTTGTTGGAATGGATGTGCATCCTGACTTTTCTGATGCAGACAGAAAGAACACTTTAGAAAAACACTGGCTAACAGACTACCACACAATCATACACAATTGTTCTTTTTTTTTTTCTTTAATTAAAAAATGGTTTCTGCCCGATGTGTGTGGCTCAGTGGATTGAGCATCATCTCATGGACTGAGAGGTCCCTGTTCGATTCCAGGTCAGGGCACATCCAGGGCACATCCCTGGTAGGGGGCACGTGGGAGGCGGCTCTCCATCCCTCTCACTGTAAAAAAACAATAAAAACATTTTAAAAAATACAAATTTTTTTAAAAAAGGTTTCTGCCCTGGCCTGTGTGTCTCAGTTGGTTGGGCACTGTCCCGTGCACCAAAGGACTGCCAGTTCAATCCCGTTCAGGGCACATGCCATATGCCAGGAATGTGAGCTCGATCCTGGGGAGGGGTGTGCAAGAAGCAGCCGATTGATGTTTCACTCCCACATCGATGTTTCTCTCTTCTGTTCTTTCTCTAAAAATCAATAAAACATCTTAAAAAACAATAAGAAAAAACTACTTGTTTGCCCCCATCTGTAATAGCCTCATTCTCTGATCCCCTTTAAAAAAAAAAAAGCCCGGCCGGTGTGGCTCAGTGGTTGAGTGTTGACCCATGCACCAAGAGATTGCTGGTTTGATTCCTGGTCAGGGCACATGCCTCAGTTTGGGGGCCAAATCCCCAGTGGGGGGCATGCAGGAGGCGGCCAATCGATGTTCTCTCTCATTGATGTTTCTATCTCTCTCTCTCCCTCTCACTTCCTCTCTCTCTAATAAAAAAAAAATCAATAAAGAAAAACATTTTTTTAAAAAAGAAAAAGTTTTTTTCCCTTAAAAAGAGTTAAAATAGCCTTGGCCAGTTTGGCTCAGCAGTTGGAGCGTCGGCCTGCGGTCCAGAGAGACCCAGGTTCGGTTCCCGCTAAGGGCACATACCTTGGTTGCATTTTGTCCCCAGCTCTGGTTGGGTCGTGCGGGTGGCAACCACTTGATGTGTCCCTTTCATGTTGATGTTTCTCTCTCTCTCTCTCCCTCCCACTCTATCTGAACAAAAAAATTGAAAAATGTCGTCGGGTGAAGATAAAAAAAAAAAAAAAAGAGTTAAAATAAAAAGAGTCTCATCCTGGCCAGTTTTTCTCAGTGGTTAGAGCATCGGCCAGCGGACCAAAGAGTCTTGGGTTTGTTTACGGTCAAGGGCATGTACCTCGGTTGCTGTTCAGTCCCTGGCCTTGGTCCAGGTCCTGCAGGAGGCAACCAATCAATGTCTCTCTTTCACGCTGATGTTTCTCTCTCTCTCTCTGTCTCTCTCCCTCCCTCCCTCCTTTCCTCCCACCCTGTCTGAAGACAAATGGAAAAAGTCTCCTCAGGTGAGGATTAAAAAAGAGAGAGAGAGAGACTCTCTTAACTGTGTAGAGAAGTTTCCAGTAAAGCCAGGACCAACGTTGTAGGGCACGTTGAGATTTCCTTTCCAGCTGCTATCGGGTGCTGCTGTCCCACCCATGTTTCTGTGGAACACAAAACTTATTGTTAGCTGAAGGAAACTTTGAAGTTACAAGTTAAAATGTCAATGAACTTGCTTTCTTGTGTGTCTGTTCATCAGAGCTTCTCTGAGTCAGCGACAGTGCAAAGTGCTTTGCATCTGATATGACATTTCGGTCCTTACTACAACCCTTACGAAGCCAGTGGTATCATCAGAGATGGGGGCACATGGCGGAGCGAGCTTAGGTAACACAGGAGTCCTGCAGACCAAGTGGTACAGCTGAGATTCAAACATTTGTTAAGAATTCAAACGCCGTGTTACCAATTTCCAGTGGTAAACCATGTGAAGCGTGCTCTCCAGGGCATACTCTGAAGAGACAGCTCAATAACAAACTTTTCGGGATTTTCCACCCATTATGTTACTTCTCTCACTGATGAATACATTCAAAATATGTATATGGTCATCATTTACAAAAGTACTTTTACACACATACATTAGGGAGAGAGGAAGAACAAGGGAAAGATTTCACTTCAATCAGCAGTCCCTGAAAGTTTCACACATTTTTTTTTCATTCAGAAAGGTGGGATTCAGACAGACCAGCCAGCACATGCCACCGGCCCTGGTTAACTCCTCGCAGGGGACTGAGAAAGAGATCTGATAATATTTATGGGATGGTGGGGTTCTTGCAGGTCTATTTCAACGCCTCCACCTAGACTGAATTAAGAACATGGATTGAGTCTGGCTTGTGTGGCTCAGTAGATTGATCATCTCCCATGGACTGAGAGGTCCAGGTTCAATCCCAGGTCAGGGCACATGCCCAGGTTACGGGTTTGATCCCCAGTAGGGGGTGTGCAGGAGGTAGCTGACAGATGTTTCTCTCTCACAGCGATGTTTCAATGTCTCTCTCCCTCCCTTTTTCTTTAAAAAATCAATAAAAACATTAAAAACAAACAAACAAAAAAACATGGATTGACTTTTTCTTGATCCGAGCATGGAAACCAAATGTACCTTTGCTAAGTAACAGCGGATAAAAGAATATATTCAAGACAAACTTGAGAGTGGAAAACATCAGTTTCCTCCTTTTTCTGTGCCTGCCTACAAGTGCTTGTTCCCTTCCTACATATTGGAGAACAATATGTTCTTCTTGACCTAGAACCTGACCTAGAATCGACTGCATACCCAATACTGAAACAATAGATAAGATTATCTGCTCATGAAAAAAGTAATTATAAATAATCGGTTTTAAAATGCTATATCGAGGAAGGAAAAATGGCGGCGGAGTGAACGGAGCTACACAGACCGTCTCCCAGAACCAAACTGGAATTACAACTATAACACAGACAAATCGACGGGAAAAACCAACAGAAAAGCAGCTTGCGAGGACCATACAACGAGGGACACTGACTCCATCCCGGTAGGCTTGCGAAGCGCGAGACGGGGCTGGGAGCGCACGGTCGGCAGCTCGGCAGCGGCCTTAGCTATAAGCGGCGCCCGCGGGTTACACCCCCAGGCGGCCCCACAGCGCAGCCGGGACAGAGGCTGAAACAGCCACAGCCACTCACCTTGGGCTCCGGCGGAGGGAGGGCACACTGGACTGGAACTGTGTCGGGACACTCGGGGTTTGGAGGGCGCTCAGAGCTTTGGCTGAGTGCAGCCACTCAGGACGGTAGCCACATTGCTCCTTCCCAGGGCTCTGGGGAGAGGCAGCAGCCCCTCCCTCGGAGATCCAACCCCACCCTGTGGGCCATTGAAGTGTTAATTGAGGCTCACTAACGACCAGCATCTGCCCCACCCTCGTGAAAGCCCCTTGGCTGAGCACCAGAGGGAGTTTTTCAATCAACGGACAACCCAAAACTCATCAATTAACCTAGACTGCTAGCCTCCAGGCAAAAAGCTAGAGGATAACAGTACCTTTCCTGGGCTGGCAACTTTAACCAGGAAAGTAAGACTTGACAGTGGTGTTCAACGCGGGTCCTCCCTCGCTCATCTAAACACAGGAGAGGGAGCCACAAACAGCAGAACACCAACACCCACAGGGAGAACTTGACAGGCTCCAAAGCCCACAGTGATAGCTAAAATGGTGAAACACAGAAACAGAAGCCAAATGAAAGAGCAAGACACCTCCACCGAAGATGAGATCAATGTGGAGCAATTAGGCATGTTAACAGAGCTAGAATTCAGAGCCATGATCTTGAGGAAGCTGAACAGCATGAGTAAGGACATAGAGACACTGAAAATAAGCCAAATGGAAATTAAAAACCAACAAGAAGAGATAAAAAATGACATATCCGAAATGAAAAACACATTGGAAGGTTTAAAAAGCAGAGTAGGGGAAGCTGAGGACCGGATCAGTGAATTAGAAGACAGGGTAGAAAAAATCAACCAATCAGAAAAACAAAAGGAAAAAACTATTAAAAAACAGGAAGACAGCTTAAGAGAACTATGGGACAACTGGAAACGTAATAATATTCGCATCATAGGAGTCCCCGAAGAAGAAGAAAAGGAGCAAGGGATAGAGAATATATTCAAAAAAATAGTGAGAGAAAACTTCCCTAATTTGGTGAAGGAAGAAGGCATTCAAGTTCAAGAAGCACAGAGAGTCCCAAGTAAGAAGAACCCAAACAGGCCCACACCAAGACACATAGTAATTAAAATGCCACAAATTAAAGACAAAGAGAGAATCCTAAAAGCAGCAAGAGATAAGCAACAGGTTACCTACAAAGGGAACCCCATAAGGCTTTCAGCTGACTTCTCACAAGAAACACTACAGGCCAGAAGAGAATGGCATGAAGTAATCAAAGTCATGAAAAACAAGAATCTGAATCCAAGACTACTCTACCCAGCAAGGCTATCATTCAAAATAGAAGATCAAATAAAGAGCTTCCCAGACAAAAAAAAGCTAAGGGAATACATTAGCACCAAACCAGCACTGCAAGAAATGCTAAAAGGACTGCTGTAAATAGCAGTAGAAATGGGAAGAAAAATAGAACCACACTAAACAAAAATGGCAATAAATAAGTACATATCAATAATCACCTTAAACGTAAATGGATTGAATGCTCCCATAAAGAGACACAGAGTAGCTGATTGGATAAGAAAGCATGACTCATCTATATGTTGTTTACAAGAGACCCACCTCTCCACAAAAGATTCACATAGGTTGAAAGTGAAGGGATGGAAAAAAATTTTCCAAGCAAATGGAAAGCAAAAAAAAGCTGGGGTAGCAATTCTCATATCTGATAAAATAGATTTCAAAATGAAGACCATAACTAGAGACAAAGACGGCCACTACATAATATTGAAAGGATCTATCCAACAGGAAGATATAACCTTGATAAACATATATGCACCCAATATAGGAGCACCAAAATATATTAAAAATCTTCTGGAGGACTTCCAAGGAGAAATCGACAACAATACAATCATAGCAGGGGACTTCAACACCCCGTTGACAGCACTGGATAGATCCTCTAGGCAAAAAATTAGCAAAGAAACAGAGACTCTAAATGAAGCACTAGACCAAATGGATTTCATAGATATCTACAGAGAATTACACCCCAAAACTACAGAATACACATTCTTCTCAAGTGCACATGGGACATTCTCAAAGATAGACCACATGATAGGACACAAACTAAATCTCTACAAGTTCAAGAAGATTGAAATCATATCAAGCATCTTCTCAGATCACAATGGCATGAAACTAGAAATCAATTGCACAAAGAACATGCAAAGACATTTCAACACATGGAGGCTAAATAGCATGTTATTAAACAATGAATGGGTCACCGAGGAGATCAAGGAAGAAATTAAAAACTTCCTGGAAACCAATGAAAATGAACACACAACAACACAAAATCTATGGGATGCAGCGAAAGCAGTTCTGAGAGGGAAGTTCATAGCACTACAGGCCTACCTCAAAAAACAAGAAAAATTTCTAATTGACTGTCTAACCTCACAACTTAAAGAATTAGAAAGCAAACAAAAAGAAAACCCCAGAGCAAGTAGAAGGAAGGAAATAGTAAAGATCAGAGCAGAAATAAATGACATAGAGACCAAAAAAACAATTCAAAGGATCAATGAAACAAAGAGCTGGTTTTTTCGAAAAGATAAACAAGATAGATGGACCCTTAGCTAGACTCACCAAGAAACAAAGAGAGAGAACCCAAATACACAAAATCAGAAATGAAAGAGGAGAAGTAACAACCAACACCACGGAAATACAAAAGATCGTTAACAACTACTATGAACAACTATATGGCAACAAATTCGACAATCTCAGCGAAATGGACAAATTTCTAGAAACACACAGTCTCCCAAAACTATTCCCGGAAGAGATAGAAAACTTGAACAGACCAATAACAACTAAGGAAATTGAAGAGGTAATCAAGACTCTCCCAGCAAACAAAAGCCCAGGCCCAGATGGTTTCACGGGGGAGTTTTACCGAACATTCAAAAAAGAACTAACACCCATTCTCCTCAAACTATTTCAAAAAATTCAAGAAGAAGGAAGACTTCCAAACACGTTCTATGAGGCCAGCATAATTCTAATTCCAAAACCAGAAAAAGACACTACGAAGAAAGAAAACTACAGGCCAATATCCCTGATGAACATAGACGCCAAAATCCTGAACAAAATACTAGCAAATCGGATCCAGAAATACATCAAAAAAATTATTCACCATGACCAAGTGGGATTCATTCCAGGGATGCAAGGCTGGTACAATATTCGCAAATCAATAAACGTGATACACCACATAAACAAAATGAAGAATAAAAACCACATGATCATATCAATAGATGCTGAAAAAGCATTCGACAAAATCCAGCATCCATTTCTGATAAAAACGCTCAGCAATGTAGGAATAGAGGGATCATATCTCAACATAATAAAGGCCATATATGAAAGACCTACAGCCAACATCATACTCAATGGACAGAAACTAAAAACATTTCCATTAAGAACAGGAACAAGACAGGGATGTCCACTTTCGCCACTCTTATTTAACATTGTACTGGAAGTCTTAGCCACAGCAATCAGACATGAAGAAAAAATAAAAGGGATCCAAATTGGAAAGGAGGAAGTGAAACTGTCATTATTTGCAGATGACATGATATTGTACATAGAAAACCCTAAAGACTCCATCAAAATCTATTAGACTTAATAATTGAATTTGGCAAAGTAGCAGGATACAAAATTAACGTCAAGAAATCGACGGCATTCTTGTACATCAATGATGAACTCACAGAAAGAGAAACTGAAAAAACAATCCCATTTACCATCGCTCCAAAAAATTACGATACCTAGGAATAAACTTAACCAAAGAAGTAAAAGACCTATTTGCAGAAAACTACAGGTCATTGAAAAAAGAAATAGAGGAAGATATAAAAAAGTGGAAGAACATACCCTGTTCATGGATTGGAAGAATTAACATAATTAAAATGTCCATACTACCCAAAGCAATCTATAGATTCAATGCAATCCCCATCAAAATACCAACGACATATTTCATAGAACTAGAACAAATACTTCAAAAGTTCATATGGAACCAAAAAAGACCCCGAATAGCCACAGCAATCTTGAAAAAGAAGAACAAAGTTGGAGGGATCACAATACCAGATATCAGGTTATACTACAAAGCGACTGTAACCAAAACAGCCTGGTACTGGCACAAGAACAGGCATATAGACCAGTGGAACAGAACTGAAAACCCAGAAATGGACCCAAGGCAATACGCTCAATTAATATTTGACAAAGGTGGCAAGAGCATACAGTGGAGTAAAGACAGCCTCTTTAATAAATGGTGTTGGGAAAACTGGACAGCTACATGCAAAAAAATGAAACTAGACCATCAACTTACACCATACACAAAAATAAACTCGAAATGGATAAAAGACTTAAATGTGACCCGTGAATCCATAAAAATTCTAGAAGAAAATGTAGGCAACAAAATTTCGGACATCATACGGAGCAGAATTTTCACTGATACATCACCTAAGGCAACAGAAATAAAGGAGAAAATGAACACATGGGACTACATCAAACTAAAAAGCTTCTGCACAGCAAAAGAAACAATCATCAAAATGGAAAGGCAACCCACTGTATGGGAGAACATCATTGCCAATGATGTATCAGATAAGGGGTTAATTTCCAGTATATACAGAGTGCTCATACAACTCCACAAAAGGAAGACAAAGAACCCAATTAAAAAATGGGCAGAGGAGCTGAATAGACACCTCTCCAAACAGGACATACAAATGGCCAAGAGACATATGAAGAAATGCTCAACATCACTAATCATCAGAGAGATGCAAATTAAAACAACTATGAGGTATCACCTCACACCTGTCAGAATGGCCGCCATCAACAAATCATCAAACAACAAGTGTTGGCGAGGATGTGGAGAAAAGGGGACTCTAATACACTGCTGGTGGGAATGCAGACTGGTGCAGCCGCTATGGAAAACAATATGGTGCTACCTCAAAAAATTAAAAATTGAACTTCCATTCGACCCAGTGATCCCACTGCTGGGAATATACCCTAAGAAGCCTGAAACACCAATCAGGAAGAATATATGTACCCCCATGTTCATAGCAGCACTATTTACAATAGCTAAGATCTGGAAACAGCCCAAGTGTCCACCAGTAGACGAATGGATCAAAAAGCTGTGGTACATATACACAATGGAATACTATGCAGCGGTAAGAAAGAAAGATCTCTTATCCTTTGAGACGACATGGAGGGACCGGGAAAGTATTATCCTAAGTGAAAGAAGCCAAGCAGAAAAAGACAAATACCACATGATCTCACTTATATACGGAATATAATGAACATAACAGTCTGAGGAATACAGTAGACCCAGACACATGGAAGTAGGGCACAGACTGACATCCCTCAGAAGAGGGGATGGGGGGTGGGGGGTGGGAAGAGATAAACCACAGAACTTATATGCATGTATGCATGACCAATGGACATGGACAACTAAGCCGGGGACAGGGTGGAGGGGGGGTGGGGTGGGGGGTGCCAATGGGGTAAAAAGGTAAAATATCTGTAACAAAAAAAAAAATAAAAAATAAAATAAAATAAAATAAAATAAAAAAAAAAACACAAAAAAAAAAACAAAAAAAAAAAAAATAAAAAAATAAAATGCTATATCAGGCAAATGCTTATTTTCCTTTTCCTATTTCACTACGGAGACAGAAATAATAAATATAATTTAAAATAATGTCCCATCAAATTTATCTATTTACAATAAAATTTCACACACAAAGCATCGATTAACAAGAATGGGCATTTTACACTGGCAAAAAGCTTAATCAACAGTTAAAACAGCAAAGAATTTAGTATGCATAAAAAGGCATAAAAGGTAAGTGAAGAAGCATATACATACATGCTTTGTTATACATAAAATATTTCTACAATAAGCCCGGCTGGTGTGGCTCTGTGGTTGAGCATCAACCCATGCACCAAGAGGTCGCAGGTTGGATTCCTGGCCAGGGCACATGCCCAGGTTGTTGGCCCAGTTCCTAATGAGGGGGAGGGGGCATGCAGTAGGTGGCCATTTGATGTTCTCTCTCATCGATGTTTCTATCTTTATTTCCCTCTCCATTCCTCTCTCTCTCTCTAAAAAAAAAATCAATAAAAAGTTATTTTAAAAGTATTCATACAATGATATATGATACATGTGACACTGAATGCCTTTGGGGTAAAGGAGAAACCTTTTACTGTATACCCCTTTGAATTTTGAACTATATAAATGTAGTTTTTTTTATGTAACTGCGATCACAATATACATTGTTTTGAAATCTGCTTTTTTCACTTAATAGCATAGCACATACATGTTTCTGTATCATTAAATTATCTTGTACAGAATGTTTTTAATGGCTTCCAGCACTGTTATAGCCAGTGTGTTTAAATATTTATCAATTATTAAAGATTTGTGTAGTTTTGTTTGTCACTTGTAGAAGTAATGTTAACATCACTTTCATCTTTTATTTTTTCACATTTATATTTTAAATATCATGACTATTTAGACTTTATTTATAAACATGTTTCGACAAAAGCATAATCCATGGTGCCCTAAAAATCCATGCCAACCCTGAATCCTAATCCATGTGGTAAAGCTAAGAGTCCCAAAGATAAAAACACCAGGAAGCTATCCCTTAATGTGCCCTCAAATTGGAGAGATCCCTCCAACTCTCTGACGTCAGGCTCCTCAGCTCTAAAAACGACAACACCGCACTAGGTTACATAAAGTTTTTTACAGTCACTAAAATAAAGCCATCAAGAATGTCTTCAACTAGATGAAAAGGGACGAAGCGGCCAGACGCAGTGGTCCCTAGCAATCCTGCTTTCAGAAGTCGGTGTTCCCTCCGGTCCTAAAGGGCAGGGCAGGCAGGAGAAGGCAGGGGAGAACGTGGCAAAGCCAGGTTAAGCAATAACACATTGGGAGACATTTGAATAAAGCAAGCATAGGGGGTAGACGAACAGACATGAAAATTGCTCTCAGGTCCTCCAAGAAGTAGACAGTAAGAGGATTAGGGGAGTAAGAGATTTAAAATAGCAGGGATGGAGGGAAGGCTGAGAAAGCCATTGGCCGGCTCTGCAGGTCTGAGAGGGGTCATGAGAAAGAGAAGGAAGGAAAGAGTGCTGGGCGGTAGCATCAAGTTGAGCAAGGCTGTGGGGGAGTCCTGAACCAAAACTTCCCATCAGAACAGCCCCGTGATTTCCATATGCGCCTGGTTTACATCCTGGATGCGCTGAGTCCACCCTGGGAGCCCCTGTGGGGGGCAGGGCTCTGACTCGGGGTGACCCGTTTCACAGCACAGCGGCTGCAGCAGTTCGTCAGCGTGCTCCCGCATCTGGAGATCTGGAAGGCTCATGTTCACGGCTGTCACACACTGCATACCAACATGTAGAGCAAACTCCAGGACAGAACCATGATTCTATAAAATGGTGATAAAATCGGCTGCTTCACCCACCTCAGAGAATTTCAATATCAAATAATAGAGATAAAAACCAGAAGTGGAAGTCTGCCAATAAAGAGAAGTAGGCCATCTGTTTGTTTCTTACAAACTTACTGCAGGAGCTTCTGTGCATCAAAGTATCCGATGGGATGAACAGGAATCCTCGGAAGGCCAACAGCGTCTGGGATTTCACGTCTATAAGCATATTCTGAAAAAAATGTTGAATATTTTTCTAATAAAAATTTGATCCTTTTCAAAATATTTTCTGTAAGTCATGTTAAACATATTTTCATATTGCATCTACTAGAATTGTTAACATAAAAAAAAGGCAATTTCAAATGTTAGCCAGAATGTGGAGTGACTAAAACTCTCATACATTGCTTGTGAGAGTGTAAAATTATACAGTCACTTTGGATAACTTCTTTGAAAAGCAATGTTAAACAGAAATGTGCACTATGCACAGCAATTCTGCTTCTCGGTAAATACCCCCCCAAAATGAAAACATATCGTATGTCCACAAAAAGACCTGTACCAATTGCTCATCATAGCCCCATTTATCTTAGCCAAGTACTGGACACAGTCCAGGTGTCTGTCAACAGGAGAATGAATGAATAGTAGAGTCCCACAACAGAATGCTACTCAGCAATTAACAGGAACAAATTACTAATACACTCAGTAATATGGATAAATCTCAAATCATTATACCGAGTGAAAGTGGCAAGGCATAGAAGAATACCTACTGTTTGATTCATTTTACATTAAGTTAAGAACCAGGCAAACTAATCAATGATGACAGACATCAGACAGTGGTTGCTTCTGAGGAGTGCAGTGAAAACAGACCAGAAATTTCCGAACTCATGGAAATGTCCTTTATTGTATATTGAGAAACATAGATGGAGGCAGTTTTTAAAAATTTATTGAACTGAACTCTTAGGATCTGTAAATTTTAGTGCATGTACACCCACATTCTGCCATTTCTTTAGTTTAAGAAAAATTGTAAATTGTCTACTAAAAACTTCACGATTATAAAGTCTATTTCTTTTTATGGGTAAAATAACAATGGTATGTTGCATGAAATTTGTTTAAAAATAGTCTAGAGTAATAACAATCAAAAGTAAATAAATAAAAGATGAACAGATAAAATAAGATTGACAAAATGTTGATAATTACCTCTTTCACACATTATATATTGTTATATATTATGTATATTACCTATATGACATTATGTATGTTAGAACTGTTCCATAATAAAAAGTATACACACACACACACACACACACACACATATACACATATACATATATATATATACACATATATTTTTTTAAAAGAATAGGGCACCAATGGGAATTCGATAAATATATGCCTCATAGGGATAACATGACTCTCCTTACTAAAATGCCATCGTTTAAATGAGAGAATAATCCACAGAAATATTCAAGTTACTCTCATTTTATGTCCATAGTTTTAGCTTTACATAACTAACAGATCTCGGGAGAAATTGCTTTATTTTTTAACTTGGGAATTTAAAAATGACGTTTAGTCCAGGTATGTTTATGTAATTTTATTATAGGATAATAGTTGCACTTAAAAAAATAATCTGTGACAATGTACCATGTTTCAAAAAGATTTACAAAGCCAAAGTTCATAAACTTTGGTGGAATCTACATTTTGGTAAAAAAATTTAAAAAACCCAGATGAAGAGTAAATATGGAAATGCCATAGACACTTTGGCAACCTATTGCATCCAAGTTACACACCTCAGTTAGTTTTAAACCACACAAACTAAATGATCATAGTTTTTTGTAGATGTCATCAAATAGCTAAGAACATTCAAGTAAATTAGCTCCCTTTGTTAATGATCTACAGTGAACAGGAGACTATTTCAGCACAAGACAAGCATGTGGATGCTGGAGCCAGACCACTTGACCTTGAACCCCAGGTCTTCATTTAGTGATGTGATAATCCGGGGCACACTGCTTACTTCTCCTAACCTCATTTTCCTCCTATCAAATAGAGACGATAACATTACTTACCTTAAATAATTGTTAATCATGTGAAGAGCTGGCGTTTAGGAAAAACTCTTGAAAGTTATATGATTGTCTTTATATAACAAAGATGCAAAAAGTGTCTTCTGGACTTTATGTTCTAAATGTTCCATCTCAGGGCATATAGAACTTCTGTTCTACTAACCATTATCCACAACTGTGAAATTCCCAAACTGTGAAAATCATACATTTGGAAGCAATTTACTTGGCAAGAAAACCTGATTTGATGTAAACTCATTTGACAGCGAAATTTGACTTAAGCAGATGCAAGTTTATTTATACTAGTTCTATAACCCAGCTCGGTATGATTATTCATACATTTTGCTGCAAAAATATTTATGTACTTGCTTTCTGTATTGTCCTAGACTTTGTGTGTGTTATGCAATGTATGGTATATGCACTGTATTACTTTAAAATATCTGAAAATGTCTGAGTTCCAAAACCAATCAGGCCCAAGGGTTCCAAACAAGGGGTAAAGGATCGGAACCAATAATGTTTAGAGTTCAAAATTCTTCCATTTATTTCTTAGATGCAGAGAGAATAAGAAAAAAAGACATATTTTGTTGTCAAAGGAAGTCCTTTAATAAAATCAATTAAAGTGTTAAGTCTCCTCCGATAATTAAGGCCTGATCACTCACCATTTGCTGGGTAACCAGGTGTGAGAGGGTCCCCCGCACCGTTAAGATTTAAGATATTTCCACGCTGGACACCACCTCCTGGAAGATTCCAGCCATCTGGATAGGGTGCCACCCCCGGAGCAAAGTAATCAGCAGGGTCTGAGTACAGAATGACTCCTTTGGCCCCCGCCAGCTGGGCGTTCTTAACCTGTGAAACACAATGTCTCTCTTGCTTCAGGTTGGTTGTTCCAAATTTGGTTATATTCTCAAAAGTATTTTTAAATAAGTAACCAAGCTCTTCATCTTTAATCTTTTATCATTAGACCTACAACTAAGAACATCTCACAGAGAACTGGCTTCCCCAACCCCCTACTACAAGCTCTAAAGTGTCAGCCCTCACAGAGCCTATGTGGATACAGCAATGCACAGGTAGCAAGTTCATGCTGTTTCCTTCTACTAGTCTAGAAGCACAACAAGCGAGCCAGATTCCCATTTTTTCTATGGCTGAAAGGGAATGTTTTTAAAATTTAATTTCCCCCTTTTTTTTTATCCTCACCCGAGGACATTTTTGCATTGATCTTCAGATAGAGCAGGAGGGAGAGAGGGAGGAAGAGAGAGAGAGAGAAACATCGATGTGAGAAAGACGCATTGAGTGGTTACTACCCACACTCCATGAAAGATAAATATATAGATCTATATATCTATATATCTATACAAATCAAGTGATAGTAACTTTAAAAACTGCTATGTATGTATAAATTGGTTTTCCTCATTACTTATAACAATTCATATTAAAATTTAATGTGGTAAATATTTTCAAAGTTAATATTTAAAACAAAGCCACTGAATCAAGGTTAACCACAAATCCAGCGCACACTTCTTTGTAGACCATAGGCATAATTTGCAGGTATGGAAAACTCTGCTCGATTGCCCCTGATCTATGACAGTGGCCACACTGCAGTGACCCACTTTTAAACCCCGGTCTGTAAGCTAGCAGAAGTGTCCTTCCTGTCAGGTGGGCATGTCACAGAACATGAGAGGATCATGGTCCCCAGAAAGTTTTAAGGATATGATTCTATACATATACGATACAATGCCACTTTACATTTATGGAGAACAAAAAAGAGAATTTTTACCTTATTGCCTCTGAAAATTTTCCCATATCTGGCAATCACAATCTTCCCAGAGCAATTGATTTTCATATCCCGCTCGAGTTTAAAGAAGTCTTCAGTTCGTGCATAGTTTGCATACACTAGATCACCCTGTGGAGACCACGAATGATTTAGTACATATAAGATGGGATACACAGAGGTTTCTCTGCATAGGGACTGTTTCACATCTTTGAAACAGGGAAGAGGCAAGGGCATGCAAGAGGGTCAGAATAGCACAAGCCTTAGGTAAGAGATTCAGAGAGAAAATAACTTGAATCCAGAAGTCAATTAGCTGGGACACGGGGGGTGGGCAGCAGAATGTATATATGTATATATGTAAATATGCACATTGCTGCACAGTTTGAAGGGGTCCAGGCACCTTAGGGTAAGAAGCTCTTGATGAGAACTTTATTCTCTTTGAAGTACATTCAGAAACAGTAGCATAATGGGTCTTCACAACCACTAGGTAAGGAAGAAACAAGGGACAGCATATACAACGAGACATACCAAAAAACCTAGGTGTGTCATAGGCTCTACCTCCCAGGTTCTCTACCTCCCAGGTTTGTGTAAGTGCCCTCAATGACGTTCACACAATGACGAAATCGCCAAACATGCGCTTCTCAGACTACTGTCACTCATAAAATGGCCTGTTAGATTAGATCAGTATTCTTCAAACATATTTTGCTCACCCACTTCCTAAATTGATTTTGAAAAACAATATTTTTAAGTTGACATCTAAAATTTTTTTTACCATACCTTAAGGAGCCGCAAATAATGAAATTTCCAGCATATTATAAGCATTAACGTTTTTGAGGCAATTTTACCTCACCTTTTATGTGTCCAAAAAATTTAAATACTATCATGATTTACTATTTAGCATCATCATTTAAAACAATACAAGAGCCCCGCTGGTGTGGCTCAGTGGTTAAGCGATGACCCATGCACCAAGAGGTCACCGTTCAATTCCCAGTCAGGGCACATGCCCAGGTTGTGGGCCCAATCCCCAGTGGGGGGCATGCAGGAGGTGGCCAAATGATGTTCTCTCTCATCGATGTTTCTATCTCTCTCTCCCTCTCCTTTCCTCTCTCTCTAAAAATCAATAAAGACAAATAAATGAATAAAATAATCAAGAATACTCACACTTCTCTTTAGTCAGTTTTATCATTACTTTTCCCCTTGAACTTGTATTCTGTCCCTTTACCCCCAAAACATTCTCCTCTAAAATAAAATAAATTTGTGCTGGACACTGGCATGTGCTGCCCAGACTTCCCTTCAGTGAGAGGTCCTTGCTCCAGCTGCGGGGAGGCTCTCTGCAGACAGCCTTCCCGTCTCTTGCTTAGGGTCAGCTACAGATAGCCTCCTTGCTCAAAGTCATGTCCTGTTTTAGAATGCCACACATTCAATGACTGATGGATGTGGAAGTAGTAAGACCTGGACATCTCAGTCCAACCCAGGACCATTTTGATGGGCAGTTCTGACTCCAGAGCTGCCCACCGCATCAGCTGATGGTGACCTTGAGCTGGCATTGAGGTGAAATGTCTCCCTCTGCTTGATACAGCTGTCTTCCTCTCCCTGCCAAAAATATCGATTCCAAGAGAACACTCCTTAATTAGCATCTAGTATGTTAAATTCCACTTTGGTGCCTGGGTATGCTTGAAAGTCTTTTATTAATCAGTCAAACTTTCCTTGATTAAGAATATATAAATTGCATTTTTAAACATATGTATTTCTTGTGGCAGGCTCTATGTGTTATAGAAAAATCTTCAGAAGTAAGTTATTATTATAATTATTAGTAGTATCCAATTGAGTCTAACAGTATCATTATAAATGTTTACAAATAGTACTTAAGCATAAAATTGTACTGAAATATCTCTCTTGATGCTATGGAATGTTTAAACACTGGGCCATGGATCTGTTACTGAATAAACTATTGCTAGAATGAGACAGGATAGCATCAGTTCTGTACACATTTCTTGTTGTTAGACATAAGTTCTCAGAAACCTTGGGATAGGAATGAAAAAGGTTTTGTCATGATATCTTCACTAAAATATTTAAATTCCTTCCAAGTTACAGCCCCCAACTCATACACGGATCTATTATCCAAGCTAATTCTAATGAAACCAGCAGGAAACTCAGTTAGGCTCATCTTTAATTTAGTTCAGTCATAAACCATTTGGTTTGTCAAATCATTTGTTATCCAGCTATTAGCATCTCTCACTCTTATGTCTTTGCTTGGAGCACCAGAGATTTTTCACAATTCAGAAAGATGCTTCATGTTGTTTAGAATGAGTGGGTGAGGTCCTTCATTAATACAATAAGAGAAAAATGACTGTAAATAAGGAGATGGGGACAGAGTACCAGCAGGATCTCACCACAGGCTAGTTCTCAATTCCATTTGAGAGTACATCGAGAAATTGATGCAACTCATCTCGTTAAAATGATCCCAAGTTTGCCTTTGAAAAGTCTTCACATATTCTAGCTTGAAGCCCCTGTCTTGGACGATTTCTAACATCCTATACTTTTATTTTGGTTATTGTTTTCCTCTTTGACTACATTTCTTATATCATGTGTGCAACAAATTTATTACAGATATTAAAATAAAGTTGTTTCCAAACTGATTCTAAGATTTGACAAATTTATTGAAGGTGTATTATTTTGTTATGTGCTCAGCAGTATTTTAGGAATTAGAGAAATGCCAAATCCTTGTCCTTGAAGAAACTTACTTTCATGTGGAGAACAGAGATAAGATAATAAACAATAAAGTTAAAAACTAAGTAAATTATACAGTATATTAAAAGGTGATAGGTGCTGTAGAAAAATTCAAAAAAGTTTAAATAGAGTAGGCAAACAGTGAACTGGTACTCAAGCAGGACAATTTTAAATTAAAAGAGAAAACTACATCAAACTCAAATCTTCTGCACAGCAAAAGAAACAACAACCCAAATGGAAAGGCAACCCACTCTATGGGAGAGCATAATTGCCAGTGATACATCAGATAAGGAGTTAATTTCTAATATATATAGAGTGTTCATACAGCTCAACAAAAGGAAAACAAAGAACCCAATTAAAAAATGGGCAGAGGAACTGAATAGACACCTCTCCAAACAGGACATACAAATGGCTAAGAGACATATGAAGAAATGCTCAACATCACTAATCATCAGAGAGATGCAAATTAAAACAACAATGAGGTATCACCTCACACCTGTCAGAATGGCCGCCATCAACAAATCATCAAACAACAAGTGTTGGCGAGGGTGTGGAGAAAAGGGGACTCTAGTGCACTGCTGGTGGGAATGCAGACTGGTGCAGCCACTATGGAAAACAATATGGTGTTACCTCAAAAAATGAAAAATTGAACTGCCATTTGACCCAGTGATCCCGCTTCTAGGAATATACCCTAAGAAGCCTCAAACACCAATCAGAAAGAATATATGTACCCCCATGTTTGTAGCAGCACTATTTACAATAGCTAAGATCTGGAAACAGCCCAAGTGTCCATCAGTAGACTAATGGATATAAAAGCAGTGGTACATATACACAATGGAGTACTACGCAGCTGTAAGAAAGAAAGATCTCTTATCCTTTGAGACGACATGGAGGGACCTGGAAAGTATCATCCTAAGTGAAACAAGCCAAACAGAGAAAGACGAGTATCATATGATCCCACTTATTTGTGGAATATAATGAACATAACAGTCTGAGGAATGGGGTAGTCCCAGAGACGTGTAAGTGGGGTACAGACTGACAATCTCCAGAAGAGGTGGTGGTGGGGGAGAGATAAACCACAGAACTTATATGCATGTATTCATGAACAATGAACATGGACAACAAAGCTAGGGACAGGGTGGGGAAAGGGGGAGGGGGTATCAGTGGGGAAAAAGGGAAACAACTGTAACAAAAATAAATAAATTATTAATTAAAATTTAAATAAATAAATAAAATACTTTAGCTTTAAAAAAACCCAGAAAAGTCTATTGAGAAGGTGACATTTGATTCTTTGCTTCAGCAAAAAGGTTACTTTTAGCTTTTTTATTTCTTTGAAAAACCAATGCAATGCCAATGCACTGTTATTGCTAGTATGTATGTCTAATTTATCACTGTTAGCCCCCTCAAAAGTTCATTCTTAATTAAAAAATTAAAAAGTTAAAAGTAAAAAAATGTGATTTCAGTGAATTGTGTTTTAGTGTAAGTGTCCTACTTGAAGCTTATTCATATTTAATATCACCAACTTTGGGGAGACTACTTCTTTAAATGTCTGTAAATGTTGGCTCTATTTTGATACATCTGTAGTCCTCACAAAGCAAATTATAATAAAAAAGGGACTAAAGAAGACAGTTTTAAAATGACAATATATTTTGAAAATGAAAACAAGTGTGATAGATATGCAAGAAGTCACTGTGAATTAGAAAAAAGCTTTGTTTTCAGACAATGACCTTGTAAAATTTACACTGCACCATTGTTCTGTGACTGGAAATAAATACAATCTTGCAGTGTTATCCTAGAATTTTCCATTTCTCTCAAGCTTCCATCTTCCTGCTCTTGTTAATGGAGACAGAAGTGAGAGGCAAGACCAGTGATTCTTAAAGCATGGTTCTTGAGCCCTCAGAATCAACACCACAGGGGACCTTGGAAACAAACTCTCAACCTTCACCTATGACCTACAGAAACTCAAGGGGTAGAGACTAGAATTGGAGTTTTATAAACCCTCTGGATTATTTTGATATGTGCTGAAGTTTGAGACCCCTAGAATAGACCCTATTTTATGGACATTGTCACATCACTAATTTCAGATAGGCTAAAGTAAAACCCAGTAATTCACATTCAAAAGGATTCAGATGAAGATCCAAAAATCACTGACAGGGAAATACATTAAGCATACATACGGACATACATAATTTTATTTTTTAAATCCTCACCTGAGGATTATTTTCCATTTATCTTCAGATAGAGTAGGAGGGAGGAAGGAAGAGAGAGAGAGAGAGAGAGAGAGAGAGAGAGAGAGAGAGAAAGAGAGAAACATCGATGTGAGAGAGACACATCGATTGGTTACCTCCCATACACCCCTGACCAGGGCCAGAGATCAAACTGCAACTCTTTGGTGCGTGGGCTGACACTCTAATCACTGAGTCACACCGGCCAGGGCAACACACACACATAATTTTAAAAAGTGTTAACACTCCACTGGCTGGGTTACAGGGGGTGCAGTGAGGCACACCAGCCAGCAAGCTCATCTAATATTTGAGCACAGACAACAATCCCATGCAGAATCACATGCTCCTTCTGTCCTCCCATTAATCTGGAAGAGTTTAAGTCTACTTGAAAATTGTGAGTTAATAATATCTATGACTCTCTTATGAGTAGAATAATTCTGTCGAAGTTCAAAAAATTTTTAGGCAATTTTACTGATTATACAGTACAACCCCAAACTAATGTGGATATAATTTTCCCCTTATAACATTATCTTCCCATCCAGAAATATAATCTGTATCTTTATACATAATATTTTCACTGCTCAATAAATTTCAGTGTTCAACTAGATCACACTCATTTAACTTTAAGATTTTTAGAGTGTATTTTGTATTTTATGGTTATTTTATTTATTTTTTATGTCTATTTTAAATTAAATTTGTTACATTTTCTGCCACTATATACTATTTGTGTACACACATACACACATATATTTAACTCCAATCTGGTAATATTAATGTTATTTTTATAATAAAGATGAATTAGTGCTTTTTTATATTCTGCTTATACAGACATAAATAATGAAGGAGGGGGATTAAGAAGACCCAGAGTGTATAAACATAAAGATAACAATTAGACAATATCAAAATTAAAGGTTTATTTTAAATAAAGGGCAATGGAGGTAACATGAACAGATATATGAAAAATTAGATGATATTTGCAACATTTAAGCCAATATGAGATGAATAAAATATTTAAGAAACAATATGTTTTGCCCTGGCCAGTTTGGCTCAGCGGTTAGAGCGTTGGCCTGCGGTCCGGAGAGACCCGGGTTCGGTTCCCGCTAAGGGCACGTACCTCGGTTGCAGTTTGTCCCCGGCCCTGGTTGGTCGTGCGGGTGGCAGCCACTCGATGTGTCCCTTTCACATCGATGTTTCTCTCTCTCTCTCTCTTCCTCTCTCTCCCTCCCACTCTATCTGTACAAAGAATGGAAAAAATGTCCTCGGGTGAGGATTAAAAAAAAAAAAAAAAAAGGAACAATATGTTTTATTGTTATATCCTTTATTTCTATCTCATGTCAATTATAAAATTATTAAATAATTACAGGGTATTTATGTTCTAATTTTATTTTTTTACTTTTTATTTATTTTAATCCTCACCCAAGGATATGTTTCCATTTATGTTCAGATAGAGTGGGAGGGAGGGAGGAGAGGGACAGAGAGAAAGAAACATTGATGTGAGAGAGACACATTTATTGGTTGCCTCCTGCATGACCCAGACCAGGGCCAGGGACAAACTGCAACCAAGATATGTGCTCTTGGCCAGAATCAAACCCGTGACTCTTTGGTCCACCGTCTAACACTCTAACCACTGAGCCAAAAAGGCCAGGGCTATGTACTAATTTTAGGAAAATATTTTCTAATATTGTATCATTAAGTATAATCTTAATTATTCATTTGAAGTAAAATTTATATAAGCAATAAAAATATTCTAAGTTTGTGACTTAAAAAAATAATTCTTTTTTTCTTTATTGATTTTAGAGAGAGAGAGGAAGTGAGAGGGAGAGAGAGATAGAATCATCACTGAGAGAGAACATTGATTGGCCACCTCCTGCATGCCCCCCAGTGGGGATCAGGCCCACAAACTGGGCATATGTCCTGACCAGGAATAGAACTGGCGACCTCCTGGTTCATGGGTCGATCCACTGAGCCATACCAGATGGACTTTTTTTTTTTTAAGTGGAAGGGAGGGAGAGAAAGAAAGGAAATATTGATATGAGAGAGACATGTTGACTGGTTGCTTCCTGCACCACCCTGACCAGGGCTGGGGATCTAACCTGCAACCCAGGTACATGCCCTTGACCAGGAATTGAACCTGTGACCGTTTGGTCTGAAGGGTGACGCTCTAACCACTTAGCCAAACCGTCCAGGGCAGTTTGTGACAATTTTAAATTATAAATAAGTTAATTACTCAAATACTTAAAAATAATACAAAATAATGATTATTTTTACCTTATTAAGAAACATGGTATTACCTGATATTAAATTGTCCTCATAAATCCTAACTGATTGGTGAAGATAGATTTTAAAATAGCAATTTATTTCTAAATGCAAATCAAATTTTTTACCCAACATGTGTCCAATAATAGTCCAAGCCCTTACCTCTCTATTGAGTGATATTTTAATATACCCAATTGTCAATTAGCAATTTCTTGTGAATTAGCACCTCAAACTCAGTATGTCCAAAATTAAATTTATTTCATGTTAAATATTATAGTAGGAGACAGAACTTGTTAAAAGGTAGTAATAAGTTATATTCAACTCTTTTATATGTAGCTTTCTTATAAAAATATACTGTGCAAAAATCTGGAGATTGTCAAATTTAAGACGACTGTTAGGCATAGTGCCTTACTGAGCAAATCACATTAAACTTTCTAGAATGGACATTTGTGCTCTTCATTTGAAAATGAGAACAATACAATTATTCTAATTCTTTGAAAATTAATCAGTGCTATACAACAGTAAGACATATTATTTTCATACAATAGATATCACTTGGCAATAAAAGGAACAAACTTCCAATAAATGCTGAAATGTGAATCTCACAGACGATGCTTGGTAAAAGAAACTGGACACAAATTATTACATTCTATACAACTCCATTTATATGTATTTCTTGAACAGGCAAAGCTAATCAAAGATGGCAAAAAAATCAGAAGAATGGTTGCCTTACGGTGTGTGGAATTGATTGAGAAGGAGCATAAAGGTACTTCCGGAAGTAATGTTAATAATCTATGTGTTGATGGAGTTTGAAAAGCACAGGTATATGCATTTGTCAAAAGTCAGTAAATGTACATTTTGGATTCATGCATCTCATTTCAGTACATTTTATCTTAAAGAGCACTATGAACACAAAATAATAAATGTTCTTTTTTCTTACTAAGAAATTCTAGTTTCTTAAATATGGAAAAGGGTGAATTTGGATTGTATAAAAAAAAAAAAAAACCCCTTTTAATGCCCCCTTAATCATTGTCTGGATGTGTGAGAGGGTTCTGACTGTTCATTTTATTTCATTGCATCGGATTTTTACCTCCGGCATTCCTTGTGGAGAGAAAGCACTAAAAGGTGGCACAACGTCTGAAGCATTTTCATATCCTGGAGGAGGGGGTTCAAATAATGATGTGTTGAAAACCTAGCAAAACAAAATACAATTATCAGAAGTAAATCAGGTGAAGTTTGAATACTAGAATCAAATAAGGATGACCGTGTATTATCTTTTTTGTCAGTGGAGGGCTAGTCAATCCTTCAGTGTTTTGAGAACACGTATCAGATATCTAGCACTGTGCTAGAGGCTGTGAGATGAATAAATTATAGACCCTGAGAGGAGCTACAAACATCAGCTTTTGATTTAGGTAATCATAGTCACTTATAACAATGCAAGGATAATTACTTAGGAGTAAATTAAATAGTAAGTTCACTTCAATAAAAAATATTACATTTTAAAAGAAATCCATATTTGATAGTATATAGACATATAAACAACATTTACTCTAAAAAGAACTAAAAGCACTGAACCAAATATAAAATATTATCTTTTTAAGTGTATCACTGAATTGGAAAAAAAGAAAAAAAAAGAAAAAAAAAAGAATCAGAAGCCAAAAAAAATAACACAAAAGCAGGAAATCCATGAGGAGCACTAAAATCTGTTTTTCTCTTAGCTGGATCTATCAAAGTCTGGGATTGCATGGAGGGGCAAAGTGGTTAAAAGACAAGTCCAGAGCCTGTCCAAGTAATACAACCTAACAGGAGACCTCTGCATAAAAGCTGGGTCTTCAAAATACAACCTCCTTTAGGGTGAAGAATAAACTAGAAATAAACCTGTCCTACAAAAAGTGACGGCTGTGATGGAGGGGACACTGTTGCCCCAGAGAATTCATGATTCTATAATTATGTATTTACTAATACACAGTACTTAGGTCACTTATACCCTTTTATTATATGGATTTTACTCTTCCTTTTCTTCCTCTAATGCTTCTTTTTTTTCCTTCCTTTTATTTTTGCATTTGTTATTTGTTTTATTTATTTTTGTAGTCTGGAAACTGAAAAATCTGATTCCTACTTAACAAAGTTACAGCAAATATCAAAATTAATTATGAAAACACTGAGAACATTCCCCTCAAGTCAAGGAAGTTTACCGTCACCATTTCTTCTCAACGTCATGCCAGTGCAGCAGTACAAAGGGTGATGGGAGTTGGGGAGTGAATCTGGGCTGACGTTACATTGTCCTAACTAGAGCACCAGTAAGCTGCTTCTCCTGAGGCTGACAGAACCTAACATAAAACCAAATCAACTACTACCCTCCAAAAATCCTCACATCTTCCATAATTCCCATAATTTTTCTGGGATTCAAAAGGGTGCAAACTCATCTGAATCACTGGGAAAGACTGTAAAAGAAAATATATTAACATGCGATAAAAATCCATCTCGAAATGAGGTCACTACATCAGCAAGTCTTTCAGCCAAGGGAGTACTCAAGCTTGTCTCACTTGATTTGCCTTTTGTACTACTCTTCAATTTTACAGCACTATTGAGCAAGTGGGTTTTAAAGCAAGTTTATGAGTTATTCTAATAACTAGCAAAACTGTTGTAAGGTCAAAGATATAACTTTTTTGGGTGACTTTTTCAAAGGTAGACTATATATGAACCAGTGCGCATTGCTCAGTTTCCAAAATTCACCAATAGAGCCTCAAATCAGGTATGCTGAGCACAACGAAAACAATTTTGGCTTACAAATTTCTATTTATGTTTTATGACAAAAAAGTCAATAAATAGTTTGATCTATATGGTATTTCATTTCTTCAGAAACAAAGTAAAAGAATGTGTCTGTATATATTTAAAATATTTCTGAAATCTTACAAAACACTAATATCTGTTGCTTGTGGGAGGCAGAACTTGTCTGTGTTGAACAAAAGAATAAAAGTTTACGGTTTAGCACATAGCTATGAATAGTTAGTCACAATAACTAAATCACACTGGGAGATGGGGAGACAGTATGAGAGTGTTTATAGTTAGGACAGAGGAATGAAAACGGAGCTGAACTGTCCGGATGTCAAAAGATGATGCCTCAATCTGAAACACAAGCAATATAAGCATGCTATTTAAGGAAGAAGAAGTAAATAGCAAAAGAATCAACTCATGGTTGAATAGTGATTGCTTCAGGGAAGGGAGGACTGGGAAGGAAGGAAGGCATTTCAGAGAACAATGTGATTCTTTATGTGCAGGTGTAACTTGGATGAAAACATAAATGAAAATAAACTAATGATATAACAACAACAACAAAAATTAAGAAGCTTTAGGCAACTAACACCATTCAGGAAAATCTCCAAAATGATACTTCTACATGATATGCTTATATTATGTAACAGGCTTTAGGGATTGCATAAATGTCTGTAATGGCAAAAATGATAAAATGGAATAACCAAAGCAAAGGTACAGTCAAAACTGGGAGTTGAAGAAGGAAAAAAGGACTGAAAGTTTGCTATTTTCCTGATTGTACATAAACAATTCCCAAATTTCACAGATCAAGATAGAGGTTTAAGCATATGTATATTTTTAACATTATTAATATTGATCAAGCTTAATCACTGATCAAGTTGGACATACATTAAGCTGTATACAATTTAGAAGCCCCAGTTAAGAAAAGAACTGAAGGAAGCTATCTAAATTGAAGGGGTTTATTTTAGTTAGGTACAGTAGCTTTAAAACTAAGGTATGCTGACTCACAATGAATATATGAGTTCTGAGCATTCATACTGAACATATTAAATGGAAATAAGCCAGTCAGAGGAAGACAAGTATCACATGATTTCACTTATTTGTGGAATATAATGAACAAAATAAGCTGATGAACAAAATAGACCCAGAGACATAGAAGTAGGGTTCAGACTGACAAACCTCAGAGGAGGGGTGCAAGGGGGAGGGGAGAGATAAACCAAAGAACTTATGTATATAAGCATAACCAGTGGACATAGACAACAATGCTGGGGATGTGGGGTGGGGGGTGGATTGGAAGAGAGTGTTAATGGGGGAAAAAAGAGAAACATCTGTAACAAAAATAAAATAAAATAAGAATTCTTGCTGCACACTGGTTGAAAATTACTGCAATAATAGAAAGAACCAACACAATTTACAAAAAAAAAACAAAAAAACCTCAATTACTTGCATTGTCTTCTGTTTCTTAACTTGCAGACAAGATTGTAAATACTTTAGATATCACTCTATAGACTCTCTTCAAAAACTCTTCCCCTTCAAATGCCCACATTTGAGTTCTATGTACAGAGATGAGCACATGACCCTATGACACATAACCATTAAGAACCAATAAAAACCTGCTGGCTCAAATTGCACACTGGGTCTCTGAATTTCCTAGCAACCCCAAACCTATGCAGTATCTTTTATAGTCTGAACCTATCAAAAATATAACTATTTTAGTTGCTTGGAAGGTTACTAATATCTCATATTTTAAGTTAATGTATAATACTAAAAAAGAAAAATTAGAGATTGTTATCAAGCATTAATTTCTCAGAATCTTTCCAACATCACATTAAATCCAAAAAGTATAAGAAAGTTGATATTGATAATTAAATATCAAAGGCATCATTCATCTGTTTCAATAATATTGATTTCTATCAATAATTGGACATATATAGTGCATTCTTTCATAGAAAGTATTTGAAAAGAATAGATGGAGGAATTTCTTTTCTACTCTTTTTTTTTTTTTTACCTCTTTTCTGTCTTCATCAATTATTGAGATGTAGTTGGGATGAATCTTATTTGGATAGGACAACAGGACATCATAATGGGCTAACTCAACAGAATCCAAGCCAAATTCTTTCCACTGGGATTGAATTTGCTTCGCAAGCTGAAAGTTTTGTTCCGTTCCTGCTAAATGTGGAATCCGTGTAAAATTACTGGCAAACAAAAATTGAAAGTGGTTAGAAATTAATGTTTAGTCAGCCTTTATCTCAAATCAACAAACAATTAAGGCACATTTACATAAAACTACTTAGAAATGTGATACACTAAAAAGGGAAAATGGTAGCATTGTTGCATCAAATAGATTTTCAAAGTGCATTTGAACTTTTCATGCTCAAATTTGTACTCATTCAAAGGAAAAACTGGAGAAACTGATCTGATGAGAGAACTGTTGTGTGCAACCCTGTGGATATATCCCTGAATAGTAAGTTGATGAAGGAAATGTCGTATTCTTTCCTTAAGAGCCATGACTCTTGGAACTTTCATGGAATTACCTGTTTTTATTTCACTGTGCAAAATATTTGAGAGAGAAAAATATTTTGATCCAAATACCAAGGTGTGACATGCCAAGGATTACTGATAATTACAATTATTTTTAAATATTGAAAATTATAGTCAAGTGAGAAACCTTTTCATTAGCAACCATTTATGAAGTATTTTCATTAAGAAAGAATCTGAACATATTTACACAAGCCTAAACTGAACCTCTTGTACTCTATCCAGCATGCACAGTAATACACTTAAAAAGCAATGATGATAATTAGTTTGACCAGAAATATCTTTAACAAGTAAATTATGTAACCAAACTTTTGGTTACTAGATATAACTTTCATGAGATACTGGTGTTTTTGTTTGTTTTAAAATTTTTTCTCCTAGAAATTTGTTATTTCCCCGAACATTCAGCTCATTTGATATTGTCAACTTAAACTCCTTAAAGAAAAAACAAAAAAAGAGAAAATTCCACAAGTCAAAGCATCATATATCATGTAAAGACATTTATTTATTTCTAGATCATTAACTTCTTGAACTTCATGAATCTCTGGTTCTAAATATGGAGGTTTTACTAAAATCAACAATCTTCCATGCTTACTGTGATTTAAAAAACCCTTATAGGCAACATTGCTATGACGATCCCAATTTCAAATGTTTAATTCTACGGTGTATCTGAACTTTTGATATGAAAAATCAGATGCCAAGAAAAATAACTCAAAATTAAAAAAAATTCTGTGATTAATTTTTATACTTATATTAAAATAATTTAAATTATGTTTACAAAAAATAGTATTAAAATCCTCATTCAGTAAAATTTTAAGTGCTTAACACCTTACATAGGATTTCTATTGTGCATTTTCAAAATACAGTAACGAAAGAACACAAATTTTTAATTGAATTTATTGGGGTAACGTTGGTTCACAGAACCATGGAGGTTTCAGGTGTACAACTCAACAAAACATCATGTGCACACTGCATCGTGCGGCCATCGCCCCAGCAAAGGCTCTTTTCTTTCCCATTTTCCATCCCTTTGCCCACCTCTACCTAATCCCCACCCCTTTCCCTCTGGTTATCACCACACTATGTGTCTATGTGTTTTGTATATATACAAATTGTGAGATATATATGTTTTTTTTTTTTTCTTAATTCCTTCACCTTCTTTCATCCAGATCCCCAAACCCCCTCCTTCTGACAGCTGTCAGTCTATTCCATGTATCCATGCCTCTGTTTCTATTTTGTCAGTTTTTTTGTTCATTAGATTCCACATATAAGTGAAATCATATGGCATTTGTCTTTCTCTGACTGGCTTATTTCACTTAGCATACTAATCTCCAGGTCCATCCATGCTATTGCAAAAGGTAAAATATCCTTTATTAAATTTTTTGGTGGCTTAGTAATATTTCATTGTGTAAATGTACTACAGCTTTTCTATCCACTCATCTCCTGATGGACACTTGGGCTGTTTCTGGATCTTGGCATCAATAAGGCTTCAATAAACATACCGGTGTATATATTCTTTCAAATTACTGTCTTGGGTTTCTTTGGATATATTCCCAGAAGTGGGGGATCACTGGGTCAAAAGGCCGTTCCATTTTTAAATTTTTGTGGAAACTCCATACTGTTTTCCACAGTAGCTGCACCAGTCTACATTCCCATGAACAGTGCACAAGGGTTCCCTTTTCTCCACATCCCTGCCAACACTTGTTGTTTGTTAATTTATTGATAATAACCATTCTGACATTCTGACAGGCATGAGGTGGTATCTCATTGCAGTTTTTGTTTGCATTTCTCTGTCGATTAGTGATATTGAGCATTGTTTCATATCTATTGGCCATCTATGTGTCCTTTTTAGAGAAGTGTCTATTCAGGTCCTTAGACCATTTTTCAATTGAGTTATTTGTCTTCTTGGTGTTGAGTAATGTAAGCTCTTTATATATTTTGGAAATTAATCTCTTCTCAGATGTATCACTGGCAAGTATGTCCCCTCATTCAGTGGGTTCCCTTTTCATTTTGATGGTTTCTTCCGTTATGCAAAAGCTTTTAATTTTGATGTGGTCACATTTGTGTATTTTTTCCTTTGTTTCCCTTGTCCATGGAGATATATCTGCAAAAATATTGCTATGAGAAATGTCTGAAATTTTACTATTTTCTTCTAGGATTTTTATGGTTTCATGACTTAACATTTAATTATGTAATCCAATTTGAGTTTATTCCTCTGTATTGTGTAAGTTGATGGTCTAGTTTCATTTTTTTGCATGTACATGTCCAATTTTCTCAGCACCAATTATTGAAGAGACTGACTCTACTCCATTGTATATTCTTGCCTCCTCTGTCAAATATTAAATGACTATAAAGGCATGTGTTTTTTCTGTGCTGTCTATTCTATTCTGCTCATCTATATGCCAGTTCCTGCATTAGTACCATGCTGTTTTGATTACTATAGTCTTGTAGTATAGTTTGATATCGGGTAGGATGATATCTCTAACTTTTGTTTTGTTTTGTTTTTTCTCAAGCTTGCTGAGGCTATTAGGGGTCTTTTTTGGTTCCATTTAAATTTTTAAAATTTTGGAATATTTGTTCTTGATCTGTGAAATATGCCATTGGTATTTTAATAGGAATTGTGTTGAATCTGTTGATTGCTTTGGGTAGTATGAACATTTTAATGATGTTATTTTTTGTATCCATGAACATGGTATATGCCTTCAGTTATTTTTCTCTTCCTCAATTTCTTTCTTCAGTATCCTATTATTTTCTGAGTACAGGTCTTTTACCTCCTTGGTTAAATATATTCCTAGGTATCTTACTATTATTTTTTTGTAATAGAATATATGATTGTTTTCTTATTTTATTCTTCTGATAGTTCATTTTTGGTGTATAAAAATGCCACAAACTGCCTGGCCGGTATGGCTGAGTTGGTTAGGGCATCATTCCATACACCAAAGGATCACAGGTTTGATTTCCAATCAGGGCACATACCTAGTTTGCAGGTTCAAACCTTGGTTGGTGTATGCTCAGGAGGCAACCAATCAATGTTTCTCTCTCACAAAGATGTTTCTCTTCTCTCTCCCTCTTCCTTCCTCTGTCTCTCTAGAATCAATGAAAAACATATCCTCAGGTGAGGATTAAAAAAAAAATGCCACAGATTTATGATATTAATTTTGTATTCTGCTAATTTGCTGAATTCATTTATTAGATCTAGTAGTTTTTTTTGGTGGAGTCTTTAGGGTTTTCTATACACAATATCATGTCATCTACAAATAATGACAGTTTTACTTCTGCCTTTCCAATTTGGGTGCCTTTTATTTCTTCTTGTCTGATTGCTGTTGCTAGGACTTCCACTACTGTGTTGAATTAGAGTGGTGAAAAAGGACATCTCTGTCTAGTTCCCGATTATAAGGGAAACACTTTTAGATTTTGCCCATCGAATATGATGTTGGCTGTGGGTTTCTCACGCATGACCTTTGTTATGTTGAGGTATGATCTTTTTATTTCCAGTTTGTTGAGTTTTTATCATAAATGGGTGATGGTTTTTATCAAATGATTTTTTTGCATCTATTGCAAATTTGTATTCATAATTTTAATTCTATGGAGCTTAATATAGACATATGTGTTTATATGATTATGTAACATCTATGCACAGATATAAATGTATATATAAGACTGTCATTTATATAAAAGTATTACTTGTATTCAATAAAGAATCTTTCAATCACTATAAGGTACTTCAAGTATTTTTGAACACATACACTAAGTAAATTTTTTAAATAAATGAATTTCATGTTTCGAAAAGCTAAATAGTCTAATCAATTATATATAATCATTGTATACAAGGGTTTTATTTTCAGTTGCTTTGCAAATACTTTTTAAATTTACTCATTTACCTCTTTGGCTCTACACTAATGATAACTATTTCAGGAAACACGGAGCTAGATCGTAAACTATGTCACATTTACTCTCTCTAAGTTCATCCTCATCACAGCCGTATCATTGTCCTCATTTTATAGATATAGAAAGGAGGGCTCCGGAAAGTTAAGTATTCACTCAAATTTACTTAGCTATCAATGGGCAAAGATGAAATTCAAACTCAAGTATGACAGACTCCAAAGTCCAAGTTTATTCTTTTGACCGAAATATACTATCTTCCTCTAAAACACGAGTCAAGAAAGTAAATTCCCCTGACCAAATCCTGCATATTTCCTGAAATGTACTAAGAATGGTTATCACATTTCACAGGTGAAAAATCAAGAGGAATAATATTTTGTGATATAATTACATAAAATTCAAATTTTAGTGCCCATAAATAAAGTTTTATCAGGACTGCCACACCTGTTTGTCTATGCCTTTCCTGTGGCTTCTTTTGTGCTACAATAGCAGAGCTGAGTAGTTGTGACAGAGATCAGCTGGTCTACAAAGGCAGGCCCTTTACAGAGAGTTGGCTGACTCCAGCTTTAAAACATCTATATCAGTCAAGTTCAGCTGAAATATATAATCCTGTCCAGATAAAATGTGATACAAGATCTTCAACAAATAAAATGAAAAAAAAAAAAAGTCAGTCCCTGTATGTGCAATATTAGATCAAAACTTTGAAACAGAATAAAATTTTCCAACAAATTGTCCATATAAACTTTCAAGTATATGCTTACTATAAGAACGATTTGATGTTCTCAGCTTTCAATTCATCCAAAAATGCCTTCTTCATGTTATGCTGTGGAACAGTGTTAGTAGCTTCATTGGAGGATTTTATAAACCATCCTGTAGAACACATACAAATATAAGAATAAGAAGTGAGCTCATACACAGGCCCTATTTTTCCTTATTGTTGTATCTATCATATGTAAAATATAAATCACCAGTGACCTCTAGCATTCACTGAAATTTAATTTCTCTTGCCTACTTCTACTTGGGAAAAATCATGCACACAAACTTTCAAATTACAAATCAATTACAAAATATTTTTAATCTGATTTCATTGATAAGATTGCTGTTATTCTAAGAAATGTTTTATGAGGAAACTCACAATAAAATTAAATACTGTGTTTCAACAACTGGGGATAAACAAGATCTTTTAAAAAGTAACAAAAAAAGGCGATCCAGTCGTGGCTGGTTTGGCTCAGCGTTTAGAGTGTGGGCCCGTGGACTAATGAGTCGCAGGTCTGATTCTAGTCAAGGGCATGTACCTGGGTTGAGGTTCATCCCTGGCCTCGGAGGGGTCATGCAGGAGGCAACCAGTCGATGTGTCCCTCTCACATTGATGTTTCTCTCTCTCTTTCCTGCTCTCTCTCTCTCTCTCCCCCTTCCTTCCCACTCTATCTGGAGATAAATAGAAAAATATCCTCGGGTGAGGGTGAAAAAAAAATTAAAAAAAAAAGGCAATCCACCTTCTTTTCCCTTAAAGCTTCTATCTCCAGTGAGTGCTCTCTGCTGATCCAGAATAAGCATTTAGTCAATATATATAATGAATTAATTATGGATATATTTCAAGTATATACGCTATTTAAAAGAATTGAAGGACACTCAGACCTGTAATTTGTTCTGGCTCTGAAACTAAAAGAAAATATGCTGAGATTTTATGTTTCCAATGGAAGAAGTCTTGAGAAATTCAACTTCAGAAAGCTACAGTGAAACTACAATTTACCCAACATCTCTGCAAGACACCCAGTGCACACAGGCCAGAGGCAATGCGTAGACAGATGATGATGTAAGCTTTTGTAGCTGGCTTTTAAACTGAGGGAAGGGGGCATCACTAAGGATTTATTTTGAGAAATGATATGGTCTGGGAATAACATGGTTACCAAAATCAGCACCCAGCCAGCTTCCAGGGACCTTTCCAGTTATTAATCACACACACACACACACACACACACACACACACACACACACACACAGGCATATTGAAATCAATGATTGGCAGAAAATGGAAATATAGTTCCATCTGTACATACAACAAAGGATTAGCCTGTGGGATCTGGGAAGGACACACTGAAGATTAAATGCTTGAATTGAGATCTAGAGAATGAACAGGATGAAGAGGAAGAAGGCCTGTTGGAGAGAGGAGAGCAGAGAATCCTAGAGAAGAATAAACAAACATTAATCAAGAACCTGTTCTGTATCCGACACTGAGCACTGAATACTAGGATGGAGCTGAGGCTATATTAAGAATCCCAGGCCCAGAACAGATGCAGATTCTAACCCACATGCCAACCTTGCCATTTTTACAGCCGAGAAAACTGAATTGAGAGAACCTATCTCATTTAAGCCCCCAAACAACTCTAGGCAGTTACTAATATCCACATGTTAATATAAGCAGAGGGTGGCTCAGAAGTTTGTTTTTTTGTTAATGATCACAAGGTCACACAGCAGGTGAGAGCAAGGATGAGTTAACCTAGCTAGGTGGTCCATGCCCTTGTCTCTTAAGTCCGGGAAAGGAAATCCGGAGTTCAAAGTAAGGCAAATTACCTGGCAATAACTTAGGCTAGTCTTGTGCATTAATGTCCAATGAGAAGCACCCCATCATCAAGAAGGAGTAAGGAAAAGTGCCAATATCCCAATGGCGTACTGAGAACTTTAGGTGCTATTTTATTTACTATTTCCAATAAACTGTAGATATTAAAGGCATCCTATAGATTGGGAAGCTGAGGCTGAGAGATTGGGCCACTTGTTTAAGGCCACAAAGAAGTGGCAGAGTCAAAATTAGAATGTACAAGGGTCTCAGCTGGTCTGAGCTGCCCCTGGTTTTCTTAACGAGTTGAGAAATCGGCACATAAGTGACAACAACGCCAAAGAACTGTTAATAAAGATCTATTTAGAGAACGGACAATAATGTCAGCCAGTTCTCCAAAGTTTCTCTGTTTTTTACTCCTACGGACGAAAGAATGAGGAGAAAAGGGCTCGCATGTAGCAGTGCCCGATGTTTACCTACTGCATACAAGAAGCAGCTCCAGGCGCAGGAGTAGATGCAGAACCCAAACTGGTTAGAGTCATTCCTTGCAAAGCACCCTGGAGATTTGCTTCAGTCTGCTCCAGAGACCTGCCGCTCACCCTAAAATGCACCAGTTAACAAGGGCTCGAGCTGGTGCACCTTCTGAGGTCCGGTTTCAGGGCCTCTCCCTTCTACTCCTTATACTGGATGACTGTCCTACAAGACCATGTCCAGAACCCAACCGTGCACCTCCCTCCGCCCCCCAGCAACCCCACCTAATTCGCGGGGGCTCATCCCCATCTTCCCCAGGACCAAACCACAGTCCCCGGGACGCCACATCGCGGTCGCGGACCCCACATCGCAAAGCGCGGAACTGCCAGCTGGGCTCCGCGGTGTGCGTGGCGAGCGCCCCTACCGAGGAGAAAGCCGAAGACGAAGAGTCCGGCGGCCAGCAGCAGCGCCCCCGCGCACAGCCAGCGCGGGCGGCGCCAAGCGGCGAAGATCGAGTCGGTTTCGTGAAGGGGATTCCACATCGCGCCAGGCGCCAGGGCCTCCTGGGACCTGCGCCTCAGCTGCGGCCCCACCGAGGGCCAAAGGCTTCCTCCAGCTAAGGCTTGGAGGGTCAGTTACCTCCCTGCAGGCTAGAATCCACCCCCAGCCCCGGGTCTAGTTTCTCCGCCCTAAAGGTACTTCTTGCTTATGCTCAACCAATCCCAGAGAGAGGGAGGCAATAGAAATGACCATAAAAAGAAAACCCGGCCCCTTTGGAGAAATGATTACAAAAAGTCTCGTGGAAAGTTCTAGCTTTTGTTTATTTCGAAATGAAAGGGGAAAAAAAGGAAGGAAGGGAAAGAGGAACAAGTGTGTCTCCTTTCTTCAACCCCAGACCAAACTCTGCTTCTCAAAAAGACAGCTGAGGATTGCCAGTGTAATGTAATAGAATGCTCATCTTTTGTCTGTCCAGGAAAATATGCAGGGGCCTGGCTCCTGGCTAGTTGGTAGACTAAATTGTCTCTCTATATTTTTCAGCTCTGAAATCCTATTAAATACTATAGCACTATAATGAGTAAAGTCTAGTAGAAAAAAAAAGTGTTCCATTCTGACACTGCATTGGATAGATAGTCAAGGAGGAGGTGGTGGTGTCCATGTGAATTACCACTGTGCTCTTTCTCCGAATGAATATCATTGATTTCATTCTTTTGGGGAAAGTTCTGATAATTACATGAAATGATTCATCTAAAGCACACAGTGCATTGACTACCTTGTAGAATGTGCTCATAATACTAATTAGTTATAAAAGGTATGCCTTCCCCACTACATTGCAAGTTCCATGAGGGGAGGAGGAATAATTCTTTTTGTAAGACCTGACAGATGCTTATTCAGTCTCTGATACTAATACACTGATCTCTAGTTTTTAATTTTAATTGTTAGCATTTTTGTACATAATTTTACTCTTTTATTTCCTTTCAGATTTTAAGTTTCTTGGTGCTAGGGACCGTATATATTCCTTTCTATTTTCTAGAGTTACACAAGCCTGGAATGTAAAAAACACCCTTTGAAATGAGTGAATGATATGCTAAGCAATAAAGTGATTATAAGGTATAAGAAATGATTACTGTTATTGAAGAACTTTAGTCAAAATGGGAAGACAGGGCCTAAAAAAAGGATAAATAACAATACCAGAAACCAGATTATGAACCAAAAAGAACAGCAACAGCTTGTGTTCAGACCATATGGGCTTCTTGTTCATACTCAAGGATTCATACCCAATAGCTCTTGCTGGAAGAACATCTTGAAATGTTTTACAGTGCCATGTACCCATCCATACACACACACACAAATGTGTGACACTACTTTGTGGGTAGGCAGATAAGGTAAAATACGACCTGACCTTCTTGGGCCATGGTGATAATTAAGAAATGTTTTTCAGACTGGATGAAATACTCAATGAGTACATACTAGTAAAAGATGAAAATGCTCTCTCTCATTACTGAATTAAATTTAAATACTTTCATTTTGTACCATACTGTTCTAATGTCTAAAAGAATTTTGTAACTAGGTAATAACTTTTCATCATCTAATAGTTACTATACAATCCATTCATTTAAAAGTATATATATATATGTAAATATATATACATGTATATATATATACATATATATATATGTATTTTTTTCGTAAGCTGGGATTTCTGACTCTTGGAACTGTACTGTTTGGTGAAAAGCAAATGCTCCATAGGTAGTAGCCATTATGGCCTCCACTATGCTTGGCTAAAATTGACTACAGTAGCCCCTGCCATCCCGACATTCATGGTTTAGCTTTCTTTAAGTTTACTTTCTGTAGTTGCAGTTATCAGCGGTCAACATGGTCTGAAAATATTAAATGGAAAAGTCCGGAAATAATTCATTAAATTGCCTGCTCTTCTGCATAGCATGATGAAATTGGTGACATCTTTCTCAGTCCCACCCTGGACAGGAATCATTGCTTTATTTAGCGGATCCATCCAGTAGCTGCCTAGGTTATAATATGCCATAAAGTGCTTCCTTTAAGAAAAAAGGTGCAAGTTCTTGACTTAAGGAAAGAAAAATAATGGCTATGCTGAGGTTGCTAAGTTCTCCAGTAAGAACAGAGTCATCTATGGGTGAAATTTTGAGGAAGGAAAAATAAATTGATGCTAGTTTTGCTGCCATACCTCAAATTGCAAAAATTATGGCCACAGTGCATGATAAATGATTAAGATGGAAAAGATACTCAATTTGTGGGTAGAAGACAAAACCGAGTCTGTCAGGGCTCGATGATCCTCCTTCTGATGCATCTTCAGAAGGCCAGTAGTCGCCTAACACTGTCACTATGCTGACATCATTTACCTCAGCCGCCACGCCTACATCATTTACCTCACTTCATCTCACACAGGCGTATCGTCTAACATCATCACAAGAAGGGTGAGTACAGTACAATAGGATATTTTGAGAGAGAGACCACTGCACATAACTTTTATTGCCATATATTGTTATAATTGTTCTTTTGTTATTAGTTGTTTATCTTTTACTGTGCCTGATTTAAAAATTAAACTTTATCATTGGTATGTGTGTATAGGGAAAAAAAACAGTATATTTGGGGTTTGGTAGTATCTGTGGTTTCAGGCATCTGCTAGGGGTCTTGGAACATATCCCTGCAGATAAGGGGGGACTACTGTATTTATAAACCAGAAAAAATAGTTATGGAGGCAAACCAGCCTTGGAGAGAGTGTGCAGAATCTAACCTTGTTAGGGTAAAATGATTTAAAACATTATTGGCCAAGAAATACCTGGGGAACTCAGGTGGAAGGAGGCTTGAGATCACAAACAGGTGAGATTAATTTTCCAAAGTCTCTATTCTGTTTTTAATTTCCCAACTCAGAAACTCTGCATGGATTCCAGTGAACTATATAATGATTCTAAATTCTTTAACACTTCTGTCTACATTTGAACTCTTTGTAGCAGCATTCTCCATTAATTTCCTTGTCATATACTTTTATGTAATTTGCTTAGTCTTGCTAATTTTGTTTACTCATCTATAAAATAGGGATGATAAAAGTCCTGTTTACATATAGTAGTTTTAAAAGGTTAGCAAAGAAGTCTAGCACTTAGATAATGGAATGAAATTCTGTACTTCAAAGAAAAGTTTATATAAAATCATTATCTTATATGACCCTAATATATGTACCCAGAAATCTCCTGCATTTAAAACCAATACATTATCATTATGGTAACCTAAAGTTAAGGAAGACTCATTCTTTTTTTTTTTATCCTCACCCGAGGACATTTTTCCATTTTTTGTTCAGGTAGAGTGGGAGGGAGAGAGAGGAACAGAGAGCGAGAGAGAAACATCGATGTGAAAGGAACACATCGAGTGGCTGCCACCCGCACAACCGACCAGGGCCGGGGACAAACTGCAACTGCGGTACATGCCCTTAGCGGGAACCGAACCCGGGTCTCTCAGGACCACAGGCCGACGCTCTAACCGCTGAGCCAAACCAGCCAGGGCTGGAAGACTCATTCTTATAAAAACAGTAAATAAATACATTCCAAAAAGTAAAAATGAGATATTCTATGCACAATACTAAGATCTCTTTCACAAGTTGAAAGAGATCATGTCAGTAGAAATGACAAAGAAGATAAGATGAATCTGTTTTTTGTACAGAGATGAACTAAATAAAAGAGTATTACACACATCATCTCTGGGATCTGTTGAAAAAGAAAGCAATTTAAATTATTTTAGCTACTTTTATCCCCAGTCTTGAATACATATTTACTTTTCAAAAATGCTTACTCAAGGAAAGAAAATACTTTACTATTTCCTGAATTCTACTTAAAGTATAAATACAGCATTTCTGAACTCTAAATTATACACTAGACGGCATAGCACAGAAAGATAAGAATTTTAACTCACTTCTCCAAGTGCTTTATATATACTTTTTTTTTTTTTTTTTTTAATGTTCAATCTTTTTAACTTGGAGGCTTCAAACTCTTTGGACTATACATTTAAAATCTGTGCATTTTAGCCCTGGCTGGTTAGGTTCAGCAGTTAGGGCATCAGCCCACAGACCAAAGAGTTGTGAGTTCGATTCCCAGTCAAGGGCACGCACATTGGTTGCAGGTTCACCTGACTCAGTTGGGGATGTCAATCTGTGCATTTTATTTTATATAAATTATAAATCAAGGAAGTTGATTTAAACATAAGGTAGGGCATAAACGAGAATATTTCTTAATGATTCATTTAAACTCTACTATTTCAGAGTAATTAATCCCCATTTTCTTTATACTAACTTGACTTACTCTAGAGGAATCTTTGCAGACAAGTTTTTATTTTTATTTTTTGGAATTTTGAAAAGTAGAAAACTTAGCTATATGGTACTCTTTCCAATCTAATAATGGAATAGGATAATAAAAGGACAGTTTTTATTAAAATAATTTTTGTAATCTTTAAGTAAAATGCATTTTTCTGTTAATTTTTATTACTAGAATAAATGGTGTTTATTATTTTAATAAATGTATATAGAAGTATAGGAAATGAGAAGCTCAAATAATCTTTTTCTTTCCCTTCCACACTTGGTCACCCTCCAGAAGTAAGCACTGCAAACATTTTGCTACTACTCTTCCCTAAACACTTTTTTTTTTTTTTTAATGCATGCATACAGTACTTTAAAAACACAAAATGAGATCATGCTATGTCTTTATTTTTAAGAAAGCTTTTAATTAATGTATGCAACATTCAGTATACAAGTCATAATTGTACAACTTGATAAATTTTTACAACGTGAAAACATCGGTAATTCAGCATCAACATCAAGAAACAGAACATCACCACGAACTCTAGATGGCCTCCTCAGTCCCCTTTGCACTCCCCTTCCCACTGTAAGATCCCCACTATTCTCCTGCTCTGAATTCTAACCCCAATGTTTAGTTCTGCCTATTCTTGACATTTCTGTAAATGGAACCACATCGTATATATATATGTACTTTTGTGTTTGGCTTCTTTCACTCAGAATTATGTTTGTGAGGTAGTTTCAGTGATGTGCTAGTAAATCAACTCTGCCAAGGAGGAGAAAGGCCCTGATTTGTAGCATTTCCTGATTTCTATGATTCAATTACTCCCACCATAGTAGATTTCAAGCTAACAACATGATG